ACTCGTTAGTTGCTGAATTGAAATCCCAGATCGGCACAACAAGTGTTAGCACCACTGCAGACTCGAGTAGCCAGTAGCAGCGCGACAGTCGCCGCGTCGCGGGTCACAGAATGACACACGTGCATCTAGCATGGCTAGAATTTCAGTCGAGTTCCTCGTCAAACAGTTACGTGAGTAAGCACATGTGAGTAAGCTGTAACACAATTAACTGTCTCACGAAAGTTTTATCTTAGCTATATTGATATTGGACATACTTACCTAATTATAATATAATTGAATACTTTTTAGTATGTATTTTTCCAGAAACAAACTTTTAACAATAGACTTATCGTTAGACTTAAATTCTACAAGTTCCACCCCTACCACAGTGACTTATCAAGTCGGACCGGAGCCCTCTCCCAACAGTACCCGGTGATGGATACCTATTGCAGATCGACCTTTAGAAAGGAGTCTATACCTAGTCTAACACTCACCTCGAATCATAAACAGATTGAAAAAGAAGTTTTTTACAAATCTCCAAAAGTCACATGACAGTACCAATCTGGTACAAGAAAGTACCTTGCGTTAAATAATTTTGTCACCAGGTACTGTAAGGTATTTTCTTCCTTTTTTTTGTTGAAATAAGTAATAGAGTAAAAAAAATACGTGTCTGATATGTCCTTTACCAAACTGCTAGGTGTCCAGCAGACGAACCGATCGATGCCTTGGATAACGATGTACTGTGAACTGTACGTAGATAGGTACTTTAAGGTAGTGCCATATTAAAGAGCTTCCTGTCTATTTTTAACTGGTTTTTCATTTATCTTCCTGACTTCCTAAAGGGTAGCAGGTGGGTTAAATCATAATGTATACCTCCCGGTTGTGCGGTTATACCAATTACCAGCTATACTTAACCTGCGGCCCGCCAGGCCTTATTGATTTGCCCTCTTTATGTTCCTATGAACCGTTCTTTTTTATATTTCGCGCCTATAAAAGAACGAGGTATTTGCGAGTTGGAGCTTAAAAACAAAAAACTAGTTAATTGACGTATTGTACCGTACCATACGGCAATTTGCTAGATTTCCTTGATTTTTGTTGTGGATAGACATGTCTATCGTTCCAATCGGCAATGACGCCACTGGTGATTTTCGCGGTGCGGACGCCGCAACGCGGTTACCTATGTGTTTTGGCTCTATGAAAATGAAAACTTAGCATTCATGCACACGTTGCCACCGCCGCCGCAGTAGGTATGTCCTACTCCACTGCCAGCCTCATACTTAGAGTATTTAACCAAATAGTCTAAGGCCCCCTACAAACGCGCTCACAGTCCGGTAATGGAATGAATCAAAGAGAGGGAACGGAAGGTGGTGCGGCGGTGCCATGTGCAGGAACGATTAAGTTAACAAATGAGGCTCTATTGACGATGCAGATTCTAACTAGCGCCTCTAGTGTCAAAATTGTGAAGCTGTCTAAGAACGACGCTGACAGTCTTCGGAATAATTTACGTCACAGAAAAATTTATTTATTAAAAATGTAAATCAGATTTATGTGGTTTCTGATAGATAAACATTTAAATAAATTGCAAAATTAATCCAATGTTATACTAATTATTCAATTAGCATCCTTAACCCACTTCATTACACTCGAATTCAATCCTATAACCTTTAACCACCATCACTCCATCATTAAACTCGCATTTATTTAAATTCCTGTTTCATTTATAATAATAATTATGTTTATTAATCTGATGCTCGACCACCATAAGTACTAATTTCAGTTATTAGGCCGCCACGAGTTATTCCAATATTAAACTTAGCTGTATTGTTTTTTTTTTATATTGAGAGTACGTCAATTTCTACTTTTTAAACATTTACAATTTTCAATTACAGTCTAATATTATTCTTGTATTTTTATATTTTTTGGAATGATTTAGGTAAGTTACTACGTACCTATCATTTCGGTTTCAGGCCAAAGAATAACAACTTGAGTAGGTATTATATTTAGCATGGGGCACATATTATTTTAATATGTCTGCCTATTTATACCAAACAAAACACTAATGGCTCCAAATGACATATTTTGTTTAATTTTTACCCTTTTTTACCATTGTCAACTGTCTCTCACAGATAATATTTTCTTGTTTGTTGTTGTTGGCATTTAAGGCCAATTCACTAACACAAGTCACCAATTTTGCTAAAAGTTCAATTGAATGATTACCCGTAAAAGTAAATAAATACATATCACTGCCGAGTAAATCTGAGAAGGGTGAATTGCTTTACAGCTGCTCTTTACTCTTTCCATACAAGAAAATAATATTTGATTCATAATTTTGTCTTTTGAAAATAAATGAAAACTTATTCCCGAATGTCCGTAAGTATTACATTGAGGAACGCAACAATTTTGAGTTTCTGCTTTTATTAAAAGCAGGTTTCTATGTGTAATCGTGATCCATTTGAATATGTTTTTAAACTTATTAACTTACTCGAAAGAAAAGTATCGTTCTTAGACAACTTCTAAATTTCGCCGCTAGAGGCGCGCGGATAATCTTTGCATCGCTAATTGGGTCATCGTACCGTCTTGTGATAAAAAAAAAACAAAAATGGGTATTTAACACATTTATTAATGTAATGTGCACTTCTGCCTACCCCTTTGGGGATAAAAGGCGTGATGTTATGTTATATTAATGTTATGTACATTTAATACCGTATGTAGGTACAACAGGTTTTATATTACAAAAATATACAGTCATATTTTAGTTAGAAATATTAGGTACCTATATATTGTAGTTACAATTTTATACCTATACTACATACAATCGACAAAGTTGGCGGACGATCATCATTCGAAGAGATTTTCCCATACACTCGGCGCACAAAGCAAACACGGTGGAGAGAGTTTGCCACAGGATTTTTAAAGTTTAGAAGTTAGTTTAAAAGTGTACTACCGTAGTGGTGGCACTACACACTGGGCCAATATTGTGAATTGTAGATGTCCTTTCTGTACATTTCCATGAAATGTAAAATCTGGAGTGTTCGTCCAGGTCATTGTACTTAATTCGAGAACAACAACTCACACGTGACAGTACCGTCTTTACTGACGAATGACAACAAACTGAATGTGACACCAATGTGTAAACACCATATGTGGAGCGCGCCAAGATCCTTTGATGTGGAGTTGGCGCCAACTCGATAGTTGTCAGTAGGTAGTAGTGTCAAATAGTCCTCTACACATTGGCCTAAAGTACTGGCCCATGACGTTGGGCGTCTACACATTGGGCCTACTATACTAAATAACTATGTGGCCCAATGTGTAAAAGCGGCATTACTTGGAGCTATGTCGTCGGCCGGCACTGGCACCAGTTTAACGTGCCCACATTAGGGCTCTATTCCTGTCACTCGTATTTTAGTCCGGACGCGGGTCTTGTCCGCATACGGGTGATAGCACGCTCCGGGCCACACGCAGGACAAAGATTTCGTTTGCTATTTCAGAGTTGTACGTGCGTGACGCCAGTGGGTAAACTCGTGCACAAACATGAATGTTAAAAATTATTATTGCTATATCATTTTCAAAAAAAAAAACAATTCGGTTTAGATCCATGTCAATTTGTATTTTTGTTTGCGATTATATGCGTACTGATAACACTGAAGGCAGAAGATCACCGCCCGCATCCGGATAGCGTGCACGTGGGCTACGTGCACGCAGCCAATCCGCGTTCCGCGCGCGTGCTACTCAGCTACTCGCATGTTAGGAAAAACATGTATCTAACGATAGTATGCGGGCAGACCGCATGCAGGCGAGACCCGCGTACGGGCTAAAATACCCGTGACAGGAAAAGTGCCTTAAGGATCTTGGCGCGCTCCACATATTGACCTCAATCAGTTTGTTGTCATTCGTCAGCAAAGACGGTACAGTCGCGCGTATATTGTTACTCCCGAATTGCAAAGGCGTGGACGAACACTAAGGTGTAAAACCTTAGTGTTTGATTGAAATGTACAAAAATGACATTTAGGTACTTACTATTCACTACATTGGTCCAACGCGATGGCCCAGTGTGTAGAGCCGCCTTTATGTCGATGGTATCTAATAATATTCGAACATGTATACCAATAATCTATTTAGGCCATGATTGACATGTGAAATGAAATATTTGTAAATAAATCTACCCATTAGAACGGTCACCACTTAGTCGTAACATTGTAGACTTCTAGTCCAGGTTGTCGTCTTACTTATGTGGTTTCTTTACAAAGATTTATTCCACATCGATGACATCGATCTTAGGTTTTGTTTTAGAAATTACATACCTAATATTTACATTTGTAATCTCCGCCTACCACCTACTCACCCAATTACGGAATAGCAAAAATCGGACAATAATTTCCTAACAACCAGCTTTTGATAAACTGAATCGACAATAATGCACTGCAAATTAGTCATCTACAGTTCTATATTAGGCAATAGGTGAGTAAGTGGTGATGTAAGTATGTACATACCAAAACAATTTTTGAAATAGGAACTTTGGTCGACTTGAGTTTCCGTGCCTAACGAGAAACGACCTCAGATAAGTATCCTGTCACTATACAAGAATAGTAAGTGCGATTTCGTCCTACGCATGGCCATTGGAGCGGAGAGTTCACTGTAAATCGAGCACTATAAGTCTTCAATTTTTCCAACTGTAAAAGTTAATTAGAAGCAAGTATAATGTATGCGGCGCGTGCGGTTCTGAATGGATGAGCATGAGCACAGAGCTGGCGAAGTAGACGCGCGGTGCGCAGTGCCGCCGCGGCCGCGCTCTGCCCCGCTGCCGCCGGCCGAGCGGCCTCGCACCTTCCGCGTGGGCGATCGCCGTCCAGCTGCCCACCAACTCACGTTCTTTTAGTTAATGTCGCCAACTCTACTTCACACGAATTATGAAAACTCGCACTATGTACAAAATAACTTACGTGACAAGGAAGAAACAGGTAACTTTCTAGAACTAATTATTACTCTTAAGGAATGTGCTTCAATTTAATACTGGTTATGGATTAATCGCCGCGCCGCTGAACTAAAGACATATTTTGCTCAGAGCTACTAATATGACTCTTCAATGTTTTGCTCACTATCTTAGCTAGCGGGAAGCCAGCGACGCCTGCGCGTGCCAGTGCACCGCGACACTCTCCCTTGTAGTCATCAGCATTCAGTGAATATATCATGGCTCCCCCTAATTTATTCTCAATTATAAACTTTGCTTTCTCCATAACACTCTGAGGGTCCTCATAAGATACCCATTCTTTGTTTTTATATAAGTAAGAGACCTTGGCCTCATTGTCTCTAGTAATTGTGACATTCTCAGTGTTGGTCACAAAAGCACACACATCTGGAAAATTAATAAACCCTAAAGAGCCAAGGGATCCAAAGCCAGATGCAGGGCTGTTTACTTGGTGGTTATCAACATTGACCAAAGAGAATGTATGACCATAAGTAGGTACGCCTACAATTATTTTGTTACGATCTAGTCCCTTGTCCAAGTACAGGTGTATGGTGTAGTTTATATTCAATGTGGCCAAATACAGCTGTTCTGTGCTCCGCTGGTACAGGGGAGAGTTCAGCCCAGTGAATGGAGTATATTTGGTGAAGGAGTGGAAATCATATGTCATGATATTTACATAATCAACATACAGATTCAATTGGTCGACATCATAGGACACATCAACAATTGCCTGAGGAGCTGCAGCCGCTACGGTTAAAATATAATCCCGTTTCTCTCTAATGTATTCCATACGAATTTCCCGAAGCAATTGTGAGAAATGTTGTCGCTCACGACCACCACCTAATGCATTATGTAATGCTGGGAATTCCCAATCCAAGTCTATCCCATCCAGGGAATGATTTCTCAATAAGTATTTCACTGACTTAATAAAAGTCTTTCTTGATTTGTGATTTAATACCATATCAGGAAAACCTTTATCAGTTCCAGCGCCTCCAACTGACACTAGAATTTTTAAGTCTGGATTTGTATGCTTGAGTTTAACCATTTCCGTAATTGTACGATACTGATGGGGCTCGAGTCTTATCTCATTACTGACTACCTGAGCAAAAGCTAAGTTAATGTGTGTACACAAATTTGGATTAATACCAGATGGCATCAATTCATCAGTTGCATGCTCGCTAGGCATGTTATAGTAACATGATATTACTCTTTCTGCAACTGTACTCCGCAGGCTTCCACTGATATCACTAATATCACTATTCCCCCACATTCCATGTTGATACAAAGCTACACAAATTACTGCACTCGCGCACACAAACAGGAAACAGCTTGTCACTATTAATCCTCTGCAGCAATATTCTGTTTTTGTATTTGTAACTTGAGTACCGAAGTGATCATATTTAATGTCGCCTATCTTATGTTTCTTTTCTACAATAAAACTCCTCATGGTAAAGAGACGTGTGAATAATTAAGAAAACACGATTATTTTAGCACGTACTAATCCAAAAATACAACGCAAGTGATACCTTAATAAAGCTCACTATTAACATTATTTGAAGAAGACAAAGTATCCAAGTAGAATGTTAGGAAAATGATAACAAACAAATTATAACATAATAAAAACAAATCTGACAGCTGGCTCGTATTTCACAAGTTCGTAGCACCAAAATATCACAGATTATCAATACTTCGAAATACCTAGTTCGAAAACAAAAACTGCGCAGTAGATAAAATAAACAAGTCGATTATGTCGAAGATTTTTTAAGCGATGCGTTGGATAGACGAATAGTAGTAAAATATTAGGTTCTCTGGAATGATTGTTTATTATATATAGCATGTTGCACGTTTATTTATTCACGTTATGAAGGTGGTATTTCCTACTTAATACTCTGAGAAGAATTATCAAAACTCAGAGGTCTCGGTCACCACAGTATTATAAGACTACAATCCACAGCTACAATCTACAACATTATAGAACATAATAATAAATTAATAACCATAGCGATTCTAATGACACAACGATGGCACCTGCGGTCGCACCTTATGTCGTCTATGGTCACATCCGACATAATTGTTTCTATTTTTTCCTCTTTCCGATTATCTTTGACAGTTAAAAATTTGACATCATAGTTTGACATTGACATTAAAATGACATGACATAGTAGGTAGTCAATTCAATTCAATCGTGCGATGTTGATAATCAAGGCTTAACTTATTGTTGTAATAACTTCAATTACTTGATGCAGGCGTGTGTTTGGACATTAATTGTGGGAGGTTCAATACAAACCTCAAAAAAGCTTAGTAGACATGGACGACTTGTCCATGAATCGCTATGAAAAACAACTGTATTCTGTGTTCAAAACCTTCGACGTAGATAACGAGGAAGCCTTAGACAGGTCAGCAGTTCACAAGCTTTGTGACGCATTGCAGCTCGAGGATCGCGGTGCGACCCTCGTGAATACTTTATTCGAACGGAGTTCCGGCCGCATCACCTTCGCACAGTTCCGGAACGGGCTGCTTGCTGTGCTCGGCGGTTCTGGAGGCGAGCCAGCACGCGCGCTATCCGCACCGTCTGCGACGGATGCAGCTCCACATCACAGTGACGACGATTCCTCGGGCCGAGAAGTGGCTCCCAAATTTGTATTTGGATCAAAAAAATATGGTCGCCGATCTAGGCCAACTCGTTCCGGACCTGCAGCTGATGAGCCTTCTAGTCCACGCTCCTCTTCAGCTTCACGACTGGACACTGATGATAAGAAGGCAAAACAACGTATGAGGTGCAGACGAAGTGCATCTGTTATGGAGACCCGGGGAGATAGCGAAAATAATGGCCAACATGATGCTTCTACTACAAATGTTTTTGAACACGACCGGCGCATTGACCGTGATGAAGCTTTCGCCTTGTGCCGTGATTTAAACATGGACGGTATCGACCAACGGCTTATAGAGCGAATATTTGATAACACTACAGATACTACTGTAGGTGAGTTTTTTGACCGTCTTAATGCTGAACTCACAACTACAATGGAAGAGGCCTCACGTGACGTCTCACCTACAGCAACAATCCCAGACACCATTGCTGATGTGGCCCACGATGAAGCCTCATCTGGATTACCCAGTGAGCTTGTACTGGAGGCATGGGAGCGAGCAGGGGTGCACCAACCACGTCGCTTACTTACTGAGCTTGGCTTTGGTGCAGTTGCATTGAGCTTACCTGAGCTAGAATGTGCCCTGGATGATGAATTACGGGCTCTAAGCGAACCAACTGATGAGCCGCGAGATGCTCGTACACTTTTACTTTTGGCTGCGCTCACACTTAGCCGACTACGCCTAGAACTGACGCGGCGTCGCATAGATGTGACTACTGCCGAGAGAGATAAGCTCCGAGGAGACGTTGCCGAGGCTAATAGACATGCCAGACTAATGGCACAAGAAGTCGATGAAAGTCATGCTCGTATCGAGGCCGAATTGAAAGCGAGTCTCCGTCGAGCTGAGGCGCGTCATGCAGAAGCCATCCGCCAGGCTGCCGCGGAACATGCGGCCGAGCGAGAGCGCGCTGCGGCTACACGAGCGCGGCTCGAAGCGGAGATCACGAGACGTGCCGACCTGGAGGCGCGCTTACGGGGTGAGATGAGTGGACTGCAGGAGCGCGCCGACGAGCTCGAGGCGCGCGTAGCGACTGCAGAAGAACGTTGCACTGAAACCGAGAGGGAACGGGTGCGGCTAGCGGGCGAGCTCCGCGCGGCACTGGAGCAGGGTGCGGCGGCACGCTCGAACGACGTTCCGCGCGAGCTGGCGGAGCAGCTGTGCGAGCTGCGGCGCGACAACCAGCGCCTGCGCGACCGGAACGACGAGCTTTGTGCCGCGCTGGAGGCCAGCACTCGCTGCGCACCGGGCCCGCCCGAGCCCCGCAGTGGGGATCTCTCCACTGAACTGGACTCACTGTTCACTCATGAACACTCTGAGGTAAGTTTAATTAAAGCTGAAGTACTGACCCCAATTTTATTAGTTTAGACTTATATATGTATACAGGCACAGGGTGCCCAGTAAATACTGTGAGGGATGATCAATACCTACTTAACAACCAAATATACCTACAGGGTTGCAAGTCACAGGATTACCGGTTTATGTCGGTTGCCCCCCCCCCCCCCCCTTTTTGTGTTGTGTCTCAATTTTGTTCTGTTTTTACTATTTTGTGAAGAAGGCTAGTTACTTACTTTTTTATTTTAAACCATAAAACTGCAAGTTACTAGATACACCAACAGATAAAGGATTATTAAAAGTGAAATAAAGGCTCATTGGCGGATTGAATTGAACGTTGAATCAACAGTGTCGATATACCATTTATTTATTTTTATTTTATTTTATTGATTTGGCTCACCAACAATTGATTACACTTATACAATATAGGGTTACATTTACGAAAACTTAACTCGTCGAGTACCGGTTTTATAGACACAATTAAAGAACAATAGGTCGCGGTCACCGGTGACCGCTTGGTGTTTGACAGATTAAATACTAGTGCATCAATCTATTATAGGTAAGCACAACATGCGTTATATACTTAATGGTATACCATGTCATTTGTAAGTGATGTAATTACTTTATTTAGTATGATAACTTTTAGCTAGCTCGCCGGAAAGCGGTGATAAGAGTCCACAACCATGTAAAAATCTTATGAATCCCGAAGCGATGCAAACGTTACATAGGATTAAAACTCTTAAATAGGTAACAGTTTGGAAAAACCTCCATCAGAATGAGAGCAAATCCTCTGTAACCTAGGATAACATCTCGCCATTTATTTCCCGACCTGTCGCTTAGAGGTGCATGTTATGTTATTGGTAACTACTTTCATTAGTTATGAGTCCCGTATAATAGGGAATAGGGATGAGTTATGACTTATGAGTCTGTAACCATAACGAGAACAAAGATCTGGAGTATTGATAACACATGTCAAAAATGCGAAAACATTTTTTTTTAATCGGCCCGTTTTTCGAAATCTATGTGTAGGCTCCGCAATGCCACTTACAACCACTTCACTAACAACAATGTCTAAACGTTCCGTATTTCAGCACTTAACCTAAGAATATATTTTGAATTCAGAGTTTTTTTTATGGCATGAACTGGTAAACTATTACGGATCACTATCAGTGCCGCCCATACACACCTGAAACACCAAGGCGTTACAAGTGCGTTACCGGCCTTTTGGGAATTGGAGATTTGAGGATTGTGGATGAGGAGATGAGGAGACTGGAGAATTGGGCCTCCAGTAACCTCCTCACTCACACGACAAAATACAACGCTAGCGTTGGTTGGTTCACGACGGTTTTTTGTGAGGCCGTGGTATCACTCCGGTCGAGCCGGCCCATTCGTGCCGAAGCATGGCTGGCTCTTATTGGTATTTCGATGGTCTTAGGATCGACTAGGCATTAAAAAAATTTTTAGCCCCCAGCACTAACATACTCTGTAATTCTGCGCGGTGTATAGTCATACATTCTTCCTAATTTTATGTAAATCCTTACTAATATTATAAATCGGAAAGTGAGTTTGTTTTTTTGTTTGTTCCGCTTTTACGCCGTAACTACTAAACCGATTGCTTTGAATTTTTGCAGACGTAAAGTTAGAAGTCTGGATTAAATAATAGGGTACTTGTTATCCCAGAAAAAAATTATATTCTCGAGGGAAAACGAAATTATTGGTATAGATGGCGCTGTGTGTATTGGTATATGTCACATTGGCTACTTTTTATCCTTTTGTGACGCGAGCGAAGCCGCGGGTAAAAGCTAGTATTAATATAATCAACAAAAGGTCAGTGTTTCTTATAATTGTGTGTTTGTGAGTGTGAGTGATTTAATATATATGTTAATTCAAGTATAACAATGATTGTGACATTAAAAACCCCGAGTGCACTTGTTTTTGAAGAAGAAATACCTAAATGAAATTAAGAGTTTCATAACGTTAATTACTTAAATTATTTGAAGTGAAATTCTCTCAACAACCCCATACTTTATGAAAATAATATTATCTTCACGTTATCTGTACATCAAATAATTAATTAATTATCAACAAATGACATGTAATTTCTGTTGGTTGAACGTCCAACTTCCATATTAAAGTGCCGTGGTCCTTTGTGATAATTGTTTTCTTAGTAAAATATTTCTAAAAGATCTACGAGTACGACCACGGAATATAGAATACATTGATTGTATTCTATATTCCGTGTTTTTTTTTTTTAAGGGGGGAAAATCATCGAATGACTGCTCCCACCTTGGTGAGGCGAGAGGGAGTGTCAGACTCTTACTGACTAAAAACCACCCTGTTCCTTCTCCTGCACGTCGAGCCGGAGCCCTGGTTACCCGTTAGGTTCTCCGCGGCTCCGGATCGGCATCAACCCTGTTGGGCCCCATCCGTGGTGGTCTGATCTGTGATGGCTCTTTGAGACGCGCGCGGTACCTACGCTCGGGTCATGTTAAAAGTACATTGCGACATTTTTATGTCTAATTTTTACCTACACGCTGGTGAAAACACGACCCTACTTTCTGGTGAAAATAAATAATTTGTACATGTACCTAATGCATGTAATGGATGCTGTCCGTAGTTCTAGAGCAGTGAATGAACGATGGACTTCGTCATCGTTGTAGTCCATTTCAGAACATAGGTTGTCTGGGAACATGGTCGGACACTCTCGTTAAAATAATTTGTATGGGTAATAGACGAAGTAGACGAAGGATTATTGAAAAAGAAATAAAGTAGTGATAAACTGAAAGATTTGTTTTTATTTTTAAAAAGTCTATGACAGATCTGCTGCAGATGTGCGATTACTAATCCTTACTAATACAGGATGTCCCACGGCAGAGTTAGGATTTTAAATTTGAATATTTTTAAAACCGTTGCAAGTAAGCGCGGGTGGAGGAACGCAGTAGCTTTGTCATTCGTGCGGATTCGTTAGTCACGATGTCGCAGTGGGCGGGTGAGCACCGCGCGTTCGCTATCGAAGCGTTTTTGAAAGGTGGAGAATCGTACGTCGTGGCTCGAAGACAGTTTTGTTCTCACTACAATATCAGACGTTTACGCGATGGACCAAGCGAAAATTTGATTCGTAAATGGGTTATCAAGTTTCGAGCTACCGGTTTCGCTATAAATCAACCGCGTCCGGGCCCAAGCAGAACTTCAAGAACGGAATAAACAATAAACGAAGTTGCAGATAGCGTTCGACGTAATCCACGCTTGTCAATACGCAAAAGAGCGGCGGCTTTAAACGTCACCAAATCAACCGTAGAGCGGATTTTAAAACGTGATTTGAAATTCCATCCCTATAAAATACAGACAGTGCAGGAAATAAATGAAAATGACTACAATTTACGTAAAAGTTTTTGCCAGACAATCATTGAGAGATTTCGCACTTTGAATACTGTGTTTTGGAGTGATGAAGCACATTTCCATTTGAATGGATATGTTAACAAACAAAATTGTCGCTTTTGGTCAGAAGTCAATCCCAGACAAAAACATCAAAGACCGCTGCATAGCCCAAAAGTGACAGTGTGGTGTGCTCTTTCGGTCAATGGAATAATCGGGCCGTATTTTTTATATTTAGCTTACCGCGGCAAATTTCTTATTTCCACAGCAAAATCTAAAAAGCGCGATATACCCGAATTCCACGCGAGCGGCAAGCTATTTGTTTGTTTGCCTGTCTTAAACGGCAGAACGGAGGTACTAATTAACGTCATTTTTTAACTGAAGGTAGTTGAAGGGATGGATAGTCACATAGGCTACTTTTTATCCTTCTGTGACGCGAGCGAAGCCGCAGGTAAAAGCTAGTTTCTAATAAGGTATACTTCGTATCAATACGAATTCCACGAGTAGTACACAAATACACGTTGGTACTGAACACGGCTAACAGTAGAACATTTTAAATAAATACTAACATACTAGGTTCTGTATATGATGAAGCGTATGTGTTTGCAGACCATATTCTACCCCTGTCCCAAATTTCATCCAGACCCGATCCATTCAGCCGGATTAAGTAACAAACATACACACCTCTATTGTCCCATTAAGGGGGGAGGGGGACGGGACAAATTGCCACCAGATGTCAAGTTGAAAAAAGTCTAATAGTCAAGTTAAGCGAATATTCGAATCGGATCAGTTATTTTCGTGTGATTCTCGCTCAAACTTACTGACAGACCGAATTCACGCACCGTGCGTTGTGTACGCGGCGCGTCTCCGCCGCTATGTTGTGTGTACGATTTACTGCCGCGCCGCAACCGCATCCGTGCCGCTTGATTTTACCATACCACTAAAACAATTGTTATGTTAGTAATACATTACAATTTACCATGCATAGTAATCAAGCGATCGGAATAATACTAACCAACACAAAATAATTATTCAATTTGAACCAGTACCTAGTTTCGGAAACTTTACTTTTTTAAAGCATATATAATTAATTTCACTTGCAGGAATGTGATTCTTCGCCTGTGAGTATAGAGCAGAACAGGATACTGAGCCATGTGGAAGCAATAGCGAAACTCAGCGAGATGTTCGATAGCGTGCTGGCGCTGTCCCCCGGCGCCGGCGACAGCGCGGCCTGCGCGCACTGCGCCGCCACCGCCGCCGCCGTGCGCGGCCTGCGCGCGCGGGTCAGCGACCTCAGCGACACGCTCATCTGCAGTGCCCAGCCCTGCCACCGCGCCGCACAGACTGACCACCAGCCTGATGCCGACTCGGATGCGCTGCGCCGGGATTTACTCGACGCCGAACGCCGACACGAAGATGAAAAGAGGAAACTCTCCAACCTTGTAAAGTGAGTCACCTTCATATTCCAAAGATAACCTTTCGTGTGATAATCTTTCGTAAAATTGCATTGCAACCTATGTACTTTCAGGGATCTGGAGGCTAGCCTCGAGCAGATGAAGGCGGAGTACGACAAGTGCGAAGAGTACTGGAGCAACAAGCTGGAGGAGGAACGCGAGCTGTTCGGCGAGGAGCAGCGGCTGGGGGACGAACGGCTGGGCGAGCTGGTCGCCAAGATCTCGGAGTACGAGCGACAGTTCGCGCCCGCCGCCGCGCTGCCGACCATCGACGAGCGCCACAGCCTCGAGGCGCAGTTCACGGACCTGGAGGAGGAGTTCGAACGCTATCGCCGCGACAAGGAGGCCGAGCTCAGCGCGCGCGGCGCCGAGCTGGCGCGGCTGGCCGAGCGCCTGGCGGCGGCCGAGCGGCGGCGCGCGCCGGCCGCGGCGGCGCCCGCGGCGAGGTGCGCGAGCTGCGCGCGCGCCTGGCGCGGGCCGAGGCGGGCGCGCGGCGGCTGGCGGCGCGGCTGGCGGCGGCCGACGTGCTGGTCAAGGACCTGTACGTGGAGAACTGTCAGCTGGCGCACCGCCGCCCGCTGTGACGCGTCATGTGATGATGGAATGCTCGTCCCACGAACGATTACTATTAATGCATTTGCGTGATTTGTTGAGTAGGTCGTGGAAGAGTTTAACATTATTTTGTACAACTAGTTACATGGTACTTAGTTTGTTCGATTCGGGTGTTGTTATTATAAGACAGAAAGATATCGAGAGTCCATTGTGTTGCTGGTATCCATTCCACAACAAGGCTTAATACTTGCAATATTCCTGGGAACCGAAGGTTACTAAACCTTACTAATATTTTAATGAGGTTAATTTATTCGATGTTATTGTTATTGAAATGCAGAGGTAATATATAAATAAAGTTGTACCTCTTTCGAATCGAATAGAGATAAATTTTTGTACATAAAACTATAAAACGATTGTTGTAACGAATTGTATATTATTATTATGGTGATGTGACCAATCAAGATAGTGCACATTGCATGTAGGCGGGGCGAGGTCCCGGCCGCGACGTCTCTGTCAGCAGTGGCGCGTGGTTCATTGGTCGAAGTGCCTTGACGAGCTACTGTGTACAGTCCAGTACAGTAGTGTACAGCCTGGACTAGTCAGTGCTGGGCGCCATTCCTGGACGCACTCGTGTTAGTTAACTGAATGCGCAGCGTGTGTCTGTCACCCCTCAGTAGATACGTATGCTTAGTTACACGCCGACAGCGCTGATACAGTGCCTAAGCTAAAATGTGATCCCAAATAATGCATTAATTATTTAAGCTAGGCTAGGTCTTATAATGAAATTATACCTTTATGATGATAAGCAATCATGGTACTTGGACCCCAAGGGGCGCGGCGCGCGGCGGCGCACTCAGTGCACTCATACGCCCAGCCACGTTGACGGACATAATGACACTTAGAATTAATGATATAAGCACCAAAATGTCAGTCAATTTTTATGTGTGCGTGTGTAATGGATTACCACGTTACCAGACTTAAGGAAATGACAAATGTCCTTCGTGTAAATGAGTATGTTCTGCGTGTAACTCTATAGTAGGCAGGTGCCACGGTCGTTGTTCCAAGGGACTCATCATTCAACCAACCGTACCAATATTGACCATATTACCCACCCAGCGTGCAAGCACTCCAATGAACAGAGTTGATTGCATCTTGCATGTATCGAGCTCATATAGTTAAGTGAATGTGTCAGATCAGATCTCACTGACAGCTGACACCACGTATTATGTCATGCACATAATAAAATCTATTTGTTCCATGGGTAGTGACGTCATCATCATACTTCCTAATCGTACTAAGACATTATACACTTATATGTATTTGAAACCGTTTACTGATAGTCCACCGTGCACGACGTAGCCACGCGTGCGCCTAACGCATCGTGTCGCCGCGCGGCGCCGCTCGCCGACTGAATGATCTGATGTGTGCTGGTCCGAGTACCCACTTCTATAAATATTAATATCAAAATACTATTATGTGATTATTAAAATGTTAATAGAACTTGTGTTTTATTATTTACAACACAAACCCTTTGGATGTTCCTCAAAGTTACATTATCTTATATCTTATCTTATACTATTATATAAAGCGGAAGAGTTTGTTTTTTTGTTTGTTTGTTTGAACGCGCTAATCTCCGTAACTACAAGTCTGATTTGAATAATTATTTTTGTGTCGGATAGCGCATTTATCGAGGATGGCTATAGGCTATAAAACATCACGCTACAACCAATAGGAGCTGAGCAGAGCGTGTGAAATCGCGCGGAAGTAGCTAGTACATACATTACAGGGTGTCTCTGAAGTCGACGATCAAATGGAACCGCAGGTTATCAGAAAAATATTTTACAAAATCCAAGTCGAATTTCAATGACTTATGTGTTATCTACCAAAAAGTACACCTTGTACCAGTCTTTATATTCTTGCTGCTACAGAATAGTGCTTCAGAATCATAGGGAGTGGCATACTATACTACAATCGTTATTAAATGCGCCAACTTTGGTGAAATTTGCCACTACTAGCGCAGTACAATTTTTTTCAGCACAGTCACTTAAAGTAACGTGAAAAATTTTGTAGCAACACTTGGTTCATCAAAAAACGACATTATTTTCCAAACTAAATCAGTTGGCTTAGAAATTATGATTCCATAATACTGGAACACTATTCAGGATAACGTAATCAAAAACACAGAGGAAAACAATAACGAATTGAAGCCGCAAGATTCAAAAGATTGGCACAGGGTGTACTTTTTCGTGGTTAACACTTACGTCATTGTTGTATGATTTGGAATTTCTCCTATATTTTTCTGATAACTCTTGAAATCTTGCTAATCACCTGGTGCCATTTGGTCGTCGACTTCAGGGACACCTGTATAATAAACCGTTAGGAATGTAAATTCTGTACATTGAAAATATAAAAAAGATCCAGTGTTACTAGATACACAGTGAAACCAAAAATGATATTAAAAAAAATGTCTGTATGTTCACGCATCACGCAAGAACTACAGGTCCGATTTCGATGAGACTTGGTAGGATTATACTTAATATCCTCGGCACAATACTGGGTAGGTATACTACTACTATATTATTATAAACTGGGTACTTTATATCCTGAAAAAACAAGTTAGTTAGTCCACGAATATGACGTGTGTGTCAGCAATTGGTCCGGTCAACCTTTTTATTGGGAACGGAACAACTCAAACCACAGCGCCACCCACTGTAGGACGTTTATGTGTGTATGACGCCTCAGCCCTTGTTACATTGCCTGATTCCAACAGAGCTCAAAAGAGTCAGAGTCCAAAAGTTATTGGTTAGTTTGATTATAGTTTGTGTATGTACACATTTGCTCATATTGCATCCGGTTTATCACAAGGAACACTCCAAATAGCCCAAAAGTTGACTGCCTCTTTGGCCGAGTGGTCGTAAGTGCGACTGCCGGACAAGGGGTCTCGGGTTCGATTGCCGGGTCGGGCAAAGTATTACTGGGTTTTTAAATATTCTCAGTAGTAGCATGGAGTCTGGAATTGTGCCCGGTATATGGCAATAGGCTCACCCCCTATTACATGGGACTCATAACATAAATAGTGAAAAGTGGGTGCTACATTGTACAGTGGTATAATTAATGTGCACCTCTGCCTACCCCTTCGGGGATAAAAGACATGTTATGTTACGTTATGATAGTTACATGATACAAATGAGTAACCGCGTCGAGAATCGAACGTGAACTGAAGTAAAGTGGACCATACAGTTATTATTTTTGTAAGTATATTAAGTAAGTAATTACATAATATTTATACTATTTTTAATATAATTATTATTTTGTTTTAGTTTTTTATACATACATATTTCTTATCGTACATTTTTTGTTACACACTCTGCTGCCACCGAGGCAGCCCCCAAGCCGTTTACAAAGATGGACGCCATTGTTCGAACAGAATAGTCTGCCTCGTGAGGTCATTTGCTGCTACAGTTAAAGTTTTTACCAACTTCAAAAAAGGAGGAGGTACTATGTTCGAATGAATTTTTTTTATTTTGTCTGGTGTTGGAAGGTGTTTCGTTGTTGTTGCTGCAGAGCGGTTTGTTGTTAATATCTTCGTTGTAGACGGACCTAAACTAAAGGATTGAGACTGACAACCTCGGTGTTTGTTTCGATGACTTATTTCTTCGTCAGTCTAGCTAGACTAGACATCGCGACGATTGCGTGAGGTCGGTCGTGGGGACACTGGGGACTAGTGGGGACCCAATAAAAAAGGACAGTTAGTAAAAATATAGGTATTTTATTTTAGAAATGTTAATCTACACAAAACTATAAATAGATATTATAATTAGTATAATATGATATCGCGTGAGCGTGGCGCGCCGCTACAAGTACATGCCGTTGACGAGGTAGTCGGCGTCGTGCGCGAACGGAGACTTCCCGCGGCCGCGGCGGCGGCGCATCGCGGCGCGCGCCCGGCACGTCAACATGCCCAGGATCGCCGTCAGCATGAACAGGCCTGCACACACACGCACTCAGTAGCCGCGGTCTCTGGCGGGAGGAGCTCGCGCAACCACTCGATACTCACCTAGTACGAGCAGCATCATGGCGGCGGGGGGGTGCTCGCTGAGCCCGTCGTGCTCGTCGTGCTCGCCGTGCTCGTCGGCCGGGTAGTGCACGTGCGCCGCCGCTGACGACACCTTCTTGTCTGCGCTCTCGGTGGACTTGTTCGCCTGCACTGGCTACACATGACACAGACAGACGGTGGAAGAAATTATCTATATAATTCCGCCAAGTGCGTCCACCCTCAACAATTTTTGAATAATTGAAGATACCTTGGGCGCGGGCGGAGGCGCAGGGCGGGGCGCAGGCGGCGGCTCCGTGCTCTCCTTGTTCAGCAGCTCGAAGCCTTTCTTAGGGCTGTCGCGCAGCGTCTGTTGCTGACTCGAGTACACCACCGGGATTTCAGGCATAGTCTTCGGAGGAATGTACACCGGGATCTCCTGGGATCATGTTTATCTTACATGTGATTAGTGATGTACTTAACTGTATGGACTGTACTGTTATCACCTACCTACTTAGGCAGTGACAATGAATGTCAGTGAGGTACTGACCTGGTCTGCGCGCGGCACGGGCCAGGCGCGGCGCGGGTCGGGTTCGGGCCAATACGCGCCGCCCCACGCGCCCTCTGCGCCTGCAACACCACACAACCCCGACTCAATCGTTACATTGACATGCCCTGTATGTACCTAAGCAATCGTGCGGCAATCAACCTCATGCCCCGGCCCGTCGTACACTACGCTGCCTGGGGCCCTTGGGCACACAATAATTCGGGGCCCCTGTTGAGTGTTTCTTGTTTTAAAGGTGTACGACAACACACTAGGATTTTCTCCAGTGTCCTGGGTGCATTTATTCACAAGTTCACATACAAATGACATCCAGACCGGAAATAACAATTTGTGGATCACACAAAGATTTGCTCCGTGCGGGAATCGAACCCGCCACACGTTGCCGGGCAGCCAGTTGCCGCACAACTTGTAGCGGGAACTTGTATCCGTCGTAGAAATTGTCGGTCCTTCGGGGCGTCCTGAGCATGACGGTGCTGGGTACAGGCCGCGGGTGCCCTTATGGTAAAGACGGTACTGCTCATGACATGCTGTACGCTATTGCTAGTTGCTCAACGGTGGAACTTTAGATCTACGTCACACTTTTATAAAGTTATTGTCAATTAAACTAAGAGCAACACACCTACCATTTTCAACATTTTTCTTTCAGTAATAGTAGAGGTTCAGTAAATGACGCTAGTATTAAAAAGTCATAATTATGAAAATTTTATAAGTAGTACCTAATTGTTCTCCCCCTAAACTTATGAGCAGTGAGCATCCGCCACTCAACTACCGTTGCAATCAGGAGTTCAGCAGTTACGGCACGTGAAAATCACCACAAATAAATTGACTTTAAGTGCTTATACCTGAACTGCGAAAACTGTTTGCATAAAAATTCTTTACACGATATTGAACAAAAATAAAATAGATGTTTTGTAAGCAGATAAAGATTTTATTTACTATTCACATTTTTTTATTTAGGTACAAAAATATCATACTACTAGCGCCAGCAGTATCGCATTTTTGCTCAGCCAGGATACAAGTAATAAAGTGTCACTCGGTCGTGGTGGTGGCGCGGTGTGTCTAGTAGGGTATGGTGTGGCTTACCGTTGGGCTGCGGCGGTGCGGGCGGCCAAGCGCGACGCGGCCAGGGCGGCTCGAACGCCGGGAACTGGGCGCCGCCCTCCGGCTCCTGCAGCAGCCCGCCCTTGTGGCTGAAGATATGTGAGCTGGCCCCCGCCTCTACACAGTCATTGGTATCTTTGCTAGTGTTTTACTCGCTCGAGTAGCTTGCATACCGCGACGTAACCGATGTAAATATAATAATTGAAGGCACCTGGTCCTGCGCGTGGTATTATTAGTCAAGTGCTCACAAATGCGACTGACGATGATGAGCAACGCCTCAGGTCGTTGGGATATTTTCAGCTATTATGTAGTTAGTAGGTATGGAGTTGGATTGTGCGCGATAAGTAGATATGTATATTATTATGTCAATTGGTAAAAGGTTCACTCCCAATTGGTGAAGTGATAATTACGGCATTTTTGGTCTAGGAATTATGCCGCATCCGAAAATTGGTTCTGACAACAATCTTAACTCGTCGAGTACCGGTTTTATAGACACAATTAAAGAACAATAGGTCGCGGTCACCGGTGACCGCTTGGTGTTTGACAGTTTAAAAGTGGCTAAAAATCAAACACCATAGGGTATGGTGTGTATGTGTGTGTGTGCGTGTGAAGTGGCTGCTATGTGTATATGTCGTACCACTATAGCGGCGCGGCGGCTGCGCCTGCGCCAGACGATGCGGCCAGCGCTCGGGCAGCGCACCGCCCTCGGCCGGCACGCCCTCCCCGGCCAGTACACCCTCCCCGGCAGGCGCGTTCTCTCCCGTCAGCACCGCTTCCGCCGCCAGCCGTTCCTACAACAGCCCCGCTGTCAGCAGTCACCTCTCACAATACTCACGGTGACCATTACTGATTCTATCACCACGTGTACCTGGTGCAGCGGCTTGTGTGTGGTTGAAGGAGGGGCGCGGGGGGCGGGGGCGGGCAGCCGAGCTCGGGCGCTTCGTCAGACCCGTCGGCGCACTGCGGCACGCCATCGCACGCATTGTAAACTGCTATACACTCGCCACCGCGCCGACACGCGAACTGGTATCGACTGCACCGCGACGCTGTAACCACGTCACCATGAGACGGAGACAATAGGAATCGAGAGAGACCGAAGAGGGATGAATCGGTATTGGTAGTTCTTTATAGTGATGACTTAGTTTAAATGCATGGTGCTTTTAAGATGTAAAGTTAGCTATAGGATACCCACGTATGACACTGGACGGAGATTCGGCTTCATGGGGCGGCGTGGGGCGCGGCGCGGGGGGCGGCGGGCGCGGCGGCGGGGGCGCGGGCGCGGGGGCGGGGGGCACCGTGCTGCCCGCCGTCGTTCGCGCCGTGCTGCTGCTGCCGCCGCTCCTGCAGCGCGCGCCGCGCACGCATTACACGTCTGTGTGACTCATTTGTTCAGGGGTAGGGGTGGTGCTTTAATTTAGTCATTCTATAAAGTATAAGTTTTAAAGTACATCACACTTTTATGGAGTTGCTATAAAGTAGAAGAAGTAGGGTAGGAATGAAAAGTCATCCCCACTAAGTCCACGAATCCTCGCTGTGTGGGGCTCTTATTATTGCTCTGCAGGCGGTTTAGAAGTAATCAAAAACCTAACTTCATACCATTCTACTTTATTCGCCTGTCGTGTCGCATAACCCTATATTCCTTTTTTTATATATTTGACGTAGGTAGGTACCTAATTATATCAATTTGTTTGCTAAAATCTGCATTCAAGATGACGCTTTCACTTCATCACGAGTTAATAATTACTCGATCACGAGACAAAGTAAAATATTATGTGGCGATGGCCAGAAGACGCATAAGCCTCAAGTTTTTTAAATAGCATTTTAATTGTATCCCTAGTTTTCGGAAATGTTTATAATATTTTTATCATTAACTTATTCTTGTAACTAAAGGTTTCTAGTTAATACTAGTTTCTAGTTGATCCTTGCAATTAACTTGTTTAATAAACTGTACAATTTTAATAAGCTGTAACCACTGTGAAAATTTTGATGCTCACCTATCAATTTTAAGTCTGTCACTATACGTGAGGACTTGTAATTGGCTTTCAGTAGTTTATGTTGGCTTCTATTTTTATGTAGTTTTAGCTGTAAGTCCTCCAGGGTGTAATAAATAAATAAATAAATTATTGGTAAAGTAAAGTTACGTTCCGTCTTTTTTTCTTCTAATTGCTTTTCATATTCGCTCCAATATTCGTCTATTAAAAAATGGGCGTGAAACAATGCTTGTGTTTTGTTTACGCCGTATGTGTGAGTTTATCGGAAGTCGGATCTCCTCGTGGGGTAAGGGTCTTATCCCAACCTCCAAATCCTCTATCCCTGAACTGAAAGCGTTAGTGGCAGTGGTGACCTCAAATCTCTCAAAGAAAAGCAAACCAAGTTGCTCCTTACAGTACAAACATTTTCACAGCAAATAGATAGCAATCAATTGAACAGGACATAGTTATCACTATCATAGCGGATCACTGGTGATGCAGGTGAGTATAGGAGACACCGCGCCCCGATTGCCCTAGGCCGAAGGGTAAGGGGCGAGGTCCCTTATGCCTTTTACACTTCCAGAAACTACGAATGATTGCCACGTGCCTACTGCTAATCTCACAGATATATAAATCTAACCATTATCTGCGGCTAATCTCAACCTAACCATTATCTCTGAGACCTTTCTATTCTACAGCCTTTCCGGAGTAAGTAGGTACAGTAGTGAAGAGACCTGAGATTGGCGAGCTCTTGTTCATGGTGCGCGAGGCGCTCCTGGTCCTGCAGCTCGGCCAGCCGCCGGCTGATGGCCAGCACGCCGCTGCTGAAGTTGCTGTGCGCCGTGAACTTGCAGCGGAAGTCCTCCGGCGGCCCGCAGTTGAACAGGTAGCAGCTGCCGGGGCCCTGCGCACATCCGCTTGCGTGTAAGGTGTCATAATATGATTGAGTTGCTGCATGTGTCACTGGCGTGCCAGGGGCAAGGAGTCTTAAAATCTTAGTTTGAACAAAATAATTATAATCCATTTATATAACAGGCTAAATAAGCAACTTTGTATTTACAACTTGAATTGCTATCAATGCAAAAAACGTGTCAGCACATATTTGCAACAACTGACTTATGACCAGACCGAATTTTTGCTGACTGTATGTAAATAAAATTGGAAACAAATTAATTTATTAAGTGATTAGGTATACATTTCTATATATAGGTATAATTTGAGTAATCAAATAATTTAATATAAGAATGATTATATAATTATTGTTAATTAGACCTTAAGTTCTCTATGCTAAGCGGTTTTTATTGCCTGAGGTACAGGTTTCAAACCTAGTTCAGGCACATGGCATATCATAGCAATAAGAATATAGAATTAAGACATACATATAAAATTTCTGTTTATATTTTTTGAATAAATTATTTATTTATAAACTACGTTTTAAAAAACCGGCTTCAAGCTCTTCTTGTTTTAGGTCGGTATATTAATATAGGTATGTTAGTATGTATCTTTTTTTAATATTTCTGTAATATGTATTGGAACCTAAGTGTAACTAACACTTTTCTGCAACCCGCATCAAAATCGGTTCCGCCAATCGCGAGATAATACATACAAACAGGACAAACTCCTTTTTATTTTGAAGTTGGTTAAAAAGGCAGATAGGGCGACTAAGAATTACAAGGTGTTACGTTATGTTGGGTAAAAGAAAAACAATTACCCATTTACATGTACCTACTACGTAGTTCAACAGAGGCATAAGGCAACCCTCGCCTTCTGTTTCTGCCTGCCACTGAAGTAATATCGAAGTAGACGGAGACGCGGGTTTACAACTGTAGGGAGCATTTTTTACCACTCATCTTAGACTAATACAATATACATAGATCTTGTGTTTTCTTTTTAGTTTAATAATAATTTTCTTCGGTATTACCATGAAAATTATGCACATGAAATACGAGACGTACCTAAGTTTATAGGCACCATTCGCATCGCTAGGGTTACCAACCGTAGGTACTCTAAAATAGAGTATTGTCCTCTATATCATGTAGGCGTAGGTACTCTATAATCTATAACACTAATAGATTATACAAGGTTTACTTAACTAGTGTCAGTCTGTAATAATATGCAAAAACCCATAATTAGAATAAAAGTCTACTATACTGTTAATATAGGATGGTTCGTTTACAGTGGTGATCCAAAGATTTATTTCAGCTTGAGAGCATCATAAGTGATCATTTAAAAATACTTTAGTTATGCGAAATTTGATAGTGTAACGCGGCAAATTCGATTTTGGTTCACAAAAAAACTTCTAACTAAAAATCGCGGGTTACTCACGTGAAAATACCGAAAAAAGGTCTACTAGTTGGCTCTCCAAAAAAACAATTGAACGATTGAAACGCTTCTCTGACAGAAAAACTACAATGTAATCCGTGAATTGTGACGTCATAAACGTCACAATACATTATTTCGTACAAAATAGATTTTTTTACATTTTGAAAATCTATCGGCTTTTGGCTAGTTATATACACAGAAACTTACGACTGCTTCGTTGGAAACTACCTACTGAAATGTTTCAGTAGTGGTTCTGACTCGGACTACGTACTCTTGTCACTTGCGTGAACGTACGGGACGTGAGGTTGCATTGACTGTCAGGCACTTAGCTGTTAGTGAACATGAATGTACTTAATCAAAGTTGAAACTGGTAATGCGAAAGAAAGGTCAAATCATTTATTTCATTTAATTAATTAGGTACTTTTGAAACATCAAAATTGAAATTAATACCTTTTCCTCATAAACGAATACGTCGCAAGCGTCGGTCTCGCAGCAGAGCCGCAGGCACTCGGAGCGCGCGCCCACGTCAAGTTCGGAGAGGTAGCGCGCGCCCATGTCGCGCGACTCTTCCGTGCGGATGATCTTATCGCGCTGCACGTCGAAGCGCGAGGCGCAGGCGGCCGGGTCCAGCTCGCGCGCCCGCACCGCGCCCAGCACCAGCGCCGCCCACCACGACCACAGTCGCAGCCGCATCCTGCACTGCACACACACCTCACTCTCTTTCCTGGAAACACTCGCGGATCTTCACTTTACGTATTCTTAGATCGAGTGCACGGGTGACCGTATCGCCGCCGTCCATCTATGTGGATTGTGGCTGTCCTAAGCCAGCGGTGACACCTCGCTACGTATCCGTGGCGCTAATTACTAAATAATATACAATTATACACAGCGGGTATCAGCCGCGGAAGTCAAAGTGAAATCACATAAAGCGCCTCTGTCGGCCTCCCGGTCGATAAAGTCGCACCTGCGCACTGCGCCCAATCTTGAACCCCAGACGTATGAATACGGTGGATATGTCGCAGTCATCCGGTTTAATCAGATATTTTATGGAATGACTAAAGAATAAATAACTCGTCACATTGTTAAATGTAACGTCCAACGTTTTGACTAAACGACAGTTTATAAAAAAGTTAGTGAAGTCGCTATGTATGTATGTATGTATTACACACAGACAATTGGTTTTCTTTTTTTTAATTATCATTAATTTAATGTCACGATCTTCCACACCTTTTGCTGGTAATCGTATTAACCTGTCCTCATACCGTCCAGTACTCATATACCACACCACCAACACTCTACTTTCCGTTTATTATCGGACATGAGCAATAATAATTAGAAATACTTAGCTAGTATTTTACAAAGGGTTGGATTAGCTGCAATAGTACCTACATAAATTACATTTTGGACGTGATATGGTTAGACTGAATACCATCTTCTCGTCTAAAATGCCTCAGTACCGCAAGACGAAGTCTATATTAATCCGTATATGATACCTACCAGTGATGACTGATGACCTACGGAACTGAAACGGGGTCTCTAACTATAGATCTTATTAAAAGACTCGGTGTCACTCTGTGCGCTATAGAAAGGGCTCAGTGTTTCGTTGCGACATCGAATCAGAAATGAGAAGATCCGCAAGCAAACTGAAGTCGCTGTCATACTCCAGTGAATTAGCATGCTGCACTGCTGCAGTGACAGTGGCGGGGTACATAACTCTGGAAAACCACGGCCGATATTTTCTCGAATGGAGGCCAACTACAACCGAAACCTACAACGACGACCTGATGAGAGTCTCAGGAAGCCACTGAATGCAGGTGGCTTCCAACTTCCGACCGGTCGATCTGAAAGTCACTGGGGGAGTCTTGTCACTGGTCTGATGAATACGGCCTCGTATTACTAAGAGAATCCCAAATGTTTTCATAGGGATATCTCCGGCGCGTGCTATGAGTGGGAATGCCCCATCTGTATGTACCCACGTGTGCATTATAGTAAACAACTTGCATCAATGAATGTATGAACATGATGAATCTTAGAGCTTGTATAATTTCTATCTATATCTGTGATCCTACAAGTTTCGCGCCATATTAATTACTGCTACGAATGGCTAGTTACATAAAACCAGTTTCCTTGTGGTTCTGGTGACCGACATGATCTTCTTTGAATAAAGAACATACGTAATTTGTGAGTGTGACAATGGGTAAGTTTATCAGTAGGTTCTTATATGAAGTTATTGATAGCAAGAAGTAGGTAATAGCAGTTTCAGGTTAAAATCACAACACAACAAAACCGTACCTAATTAGTTTAGTGAACACTGTGAACACATACTTAGCTACTGTAAGAGGCGCACTACGTATTGCTAGAAAACTAATTCTGCATTTTTAGTTTCTTCCGATTAGTATGTATTGAAGTGAGTGATTGTGTGTGTGTGTGTGTGTGTGTGTGATGTTTTATCTCGTGAATCTTGTGAAACCCTTCACAAGTTACAAACCTACAGTTATACCTATGTAGGAATAGAAGTTAAGAATAGTCCCTGTATATATGTATGTAGAGAAGCGGCGCGCGACGCGGCGGCGCGCGGCAGTGTCGGCGCGACCTGGGCGCAGCGCGACGCTCCGCCTTCATGTCGCTGTTCTTCAAGTTCAGGAGCGGTGTGAGTACCTCTAGCGTGCCACCGTGGAGCGCCCGCTCCACGCAGTGATTCAGTTACATTCATAGATTGACAATAAGTATACTATTGTGTCTTCGTTAAAACGATACTACTGACAGTGCAGGAGTAAACGTCGCCTCTATAATATAATTAACTTCTCATATAATAATTATAATGTCTACTTATCTGATTAATTTGGATGTTTTTGCACCCATCTAGGGGTTCATTAATTATAGCATGCAAATAAATAAGAATAAGTACGTACTTAGCCGATAAACTTGAGTCGTTTCATTTACAATTTGAATGGATTCAAAACTAAGTTTATTCGCATGACATACAGATGCATGCGAATAAACTTAGTCTCTTCGTAATCGTAAAGATCGTAAAGAGCAGCAATGTAAATACAATAAATAATGTGTTAAGTTCACGGAGCGCTGGGTGGGGTTGTGACCGTGCGGGGTGCGGTCGGGGCTCGGGCTCCAGCTCGCGCAGCTCTGCCTCAACTGAGCACGGTACCAATTGGCGACGATAGGTTAGAAAATATTCGAGTAGGTACCACGCTTGTTAGATAGGTAGTGAATTTTTGACATAGGGCAACCAGACAACCTTCACCTTCTTACACTGGAGAAATATCGAATTTTGACAGCGGAGAGCCGGCGGCGGCGGCGGTGACTCTCATTTCTCAGTGCAATAAATAGTGCCACACATTAGCATAAGCTTCAGTAGTGATGAGAGAGTGTCTATCGTACCCGGTTCGCGATCAGTGTTTGATTACCGTGAGCGTGTCGCGTGTAGAGGAGGCCCGGCGCGTGGCGCTGTTCATGCAAGAGGGTTCGAACCTGGCAAGTAGCAATGTGGCATTTTTCGAGGTACATGTATCCTCTTTATAATTTAGACATCACTTACTGATAATAATAAATTATGTAATTGTACTGTTCTTTGTGCATCATCACTACATAGTATAAAACAAAGTCTATCCGCAGTCTGTCTGTCCCTATGTATGTTTAGATCTTTAAAACTACGCAACGGATTTTGATGCGGTTTTTGTTAATAGATAGAGTGATTCATAAGGAAGGTTTTTATGTATAATACATGCATATTGTACCCGTGCGAAGCCGGGGCGGGTCGCTAGTTACGTATATATTGTAATAGTTCTTCATTATACCTCTTTAATTACATATATACATATGTATTGTGTGATTCAAATTATGTTCACAACAATGTTACACTTTTTCACCTACCAATGAGTCTCTCTGCATCACTCTAAGGTTGACTGTTAGAGAATGCCACTAGGCATTAAGTCTGCCATTGTATACCCATTGTGCAAGAAGTGTAAATAAATATTTTGTATAGTAAAGAAAACCCATCGTGAGGAAATTTTGTAGTTTCAAATTATAGATTAGAAATCGCCCAATCCACCTCGCTTGGTGTATTATATGGTGGTGGTATTTGGAGGGCATTGTTTCTTTCTGTCGCCCTTTGTTTCTTTCTCCATCTCTTGGCCATTCTGTTATAATTTTCGTCCATTTCTCTAGTTTTTCCCTTAGTATGTGTCCTGACCATCGCATTTCAGTGTTCGACATAATGGATTTGCCTTTTATGTTTACTTTCTGTTAGTCTAACTGTATCTTTTCTCTTGACTCCAATACCACTCCTCTCTATACTGTTTGGCAGACGTTTGTTTTACTTGTTAACTTTTCTGTTAACGCCCATTGCCCAAGTTTGACAGCCATATGTTAAACATGGCAGAATGCACATGTCATACTATTTTCTTTGGCATATCTCTATCCTTCATAACTTCGCTTAGTGACCAGTACCTCTTCCATGTACTGGCTATCCTCCTATCGATTTCCTTATGGATCGTTTTCGTAGGTGATATTAACTGTCCCAGGTAAATATATTCATGCACGTATTCTATTTCCTGCATGTTTTGTGTTTCTGAAGAATTAGTCATAACTTTTGTTTTCGTGATGTTCATTGTTAGTCCTGCTACTGCGCTCTGGTCTGCTAGCTATTGTAGCATTTGTTGTAATGATCTAGGACATTCAGAGAACAATACTAGGTCATCTGCAAAACGCAAATGACTTAGATTTTCGCGATTATATTGAGACCTTGTTCTTTCCATTCTAGGTTCCTAATTATCATCTCCAGACAGAACTGCCGAGAATAATTTAGGTGATATAGATTCACCTTGACGAACCCCTCGCTCTATAGGGAATTTCTTGCCTAGTTTTACTAATCTGACTTGTGCTGTGCTTTTGGAGTATATATTCTGTAAAATTCTTAAATAATTCTCCTGTACATTTTGACCTCGTAGAGCTTTCCCGATGTACCCATGTTTCAGGGAGTCAAAAGCCTTATCTATCTATAAACCCCAGGAAGTAAATTTTATTCGTGTTCGTCGTCAAATTATTACGTAAGTAAGCCGAAAACATAATAATTGATTTAGTATGTCTCACGAAAGTTACAATACAAACATTGTACTTTTGTAGGACTTGTCTCAGGACGAGGATGTGGTCTACGGTTGAAAATCCACTTCTAAAACCTGCTTGTTCTCTTGGCTGGTTCTCAATTCTCATCGAGTGCTGTGGTTATTCTGGATAAAATAGTTTTTGAAAAGACCTTGTAAATGTTGGACATTAAACTGATAGGGCGATAGATTCCCATTTCCTTTTTTGTGTAGCAGAACTATCGTTCTAGTCCAGTTCTGTGTAATGCTTTCCGTTTTAATAATATCAATAAATATGTCTGTTATTAATGGAGCAATCACTAAAACCGTAGATTGGAGCAATTCGCTGGTTATTTGATCGGGCCCAGGTGTTTCGTCTGCTTTCTAGGTTTTTAATAGTTTTGATAGTTTTTTCAGGCACCATTTGGGGAGGTCTAGATCCATTTCTTTGTTTTCTTTTTCCTAAAGAAACCATTAAGAATACTTAGCTTGTTTTGTAGAGCAAATGAAACCAGCCTTGCGCCATACTTAGTTCTCTCACCAGGTAAAAGATAAATGCGACCAAATGCATTTTTGTGTAATTTGCACGTTTATACATATTTTAACTCTTTTTCACTGGTGAAGCGAATTATTTCGGCTAGTACATATTGCTTATTATTATAGCTTAGGTATTTTACAATACAATTATTTGTACCTATCTATAATGAATAATAATCCTCCATACCGATTTCGGCTACGGGGACCGTTTGGTGACCACTGGCGTCTGTCATATAGGTCGTATGTGGCTAGATCTACAGAGTACCTATAATAGTTACCTGGGAAAACCGATTGTCGTCAATGACTGAGGGATGTGGGTATATTGATTGAGCGTATTTAGTTTGCTTACAAAATTGCATAAGTTTATCTGGTACTGTGTCCGGTATATGAAGGTGTAAAACAGGCCGTTAGACTACAACTTTAAATTGTTTAAATTATTATTTTCATAATATTAGGCGTATGTTTAAGTAGGTACCAGTACCTACCTAGACACCTATTACTATGATGTGAAGAACCATGCGTCCCAGATCGTTTGCTGGCTGACTGACTTGTTTGATACATTGGTATCGTCGTGCGTCGTACCTTTGTTTATACGGAGCCAGGCTAGCTAGCCATACGTTAGTATGTTATCAGCTGTGCGCTGCGCGGTCGGCGGGCGAGCGCCGCGCGACCTCGCCTCGCGCCGCGCCCCGCGGCTCCGCCACGCCGCCGACCGCCGCTAAGCTCCCCGCGCACCGCGCACCGCCACCTCCGCCGCTAGCTACCTCCTCGCCTGTTCTCACTAGTACATACGCTAACGGGTGAACTCGTCTCGCTACACGCGCACGCAGTTGAAACCAGCGCGCCTCTTGAAGCTATTGTGTTTACTGTTCAGGCATTTCTATGAAATTGTCAGTTGTCTGTGAGATTGCACACTGCACGTATTGCCCGGGTAGTGTGAAGTGGATGGTGATTCGGTGATCGATACCTTCAGTACTGTGTGCAACTATTCGTGGCTGTGTGGTGCATCGCTGCCGCGTAGGTGGTCTGAGATCACCGTGCAAGGAACTGCGATCAACAGTGCCCGGGAGCCGGAGAGGGCAGTGACCGCGGTCGCGATCTCGGTAGGTACGGGAAGAGCCAAGATGATTGTGAGCAACACACTAGCGCGTAACATGCCTGCCTACAACTCGAATACATCTGAATACTACCTACTTACTTAACGGTGGTTTCTTACAACACGTTAGGCAGTTATAGCTCCGAAAGAATATGAATAAGAATATCCAACCTCTGCAACAGCACCGATACGTCATAGAAGTCCTGGTATTTATGTGTTTAATAATAGGTTATGTATTATGTATTTACTACCACATACACAATTTGTCATGAGTGCTGAGTGTATTAAGGCTTGACTTCGAGTCATTTGCACATTTTTGCTAAAAAATTAAGAGTTGTTAGGTTAAGTAGGTATATTATAGGTTCACGTCGATCTGTGTATTTTGTATATCGCGTAAAATTAAGGAATGATGACCTCGTGATCACATCCGTAACGTCGCGTCGTCGTTCGCTCGACGAAGACGTCTGCGTCCAGTTACTATTAAAGTTATTATTGAATGGTATATGAAATGCGTCATGGTAACTAAATACCTACCTAGGTATTTATGTATTTATGGGATAGACAAGTCGTGCACTGTCCAGTCCAGTAACTAGTTAGGGTTGCCAACTATAGTTTATAATAACGTATCCTACTTTATTTTTGGTTATCATACTTTATAGTTATACGTTTACATACAAATAAAGTACTTATGTGAAAATACTTTATTTCCAACCTTTACCATGATGCTTGGAATATATGATACCTTATTATTTAAAAGTATTTAAAAATAATATACTTATAAGTTAAAAAAGATTATGGTAAACGACTCATAATTACTCAACAAGATGTTAGTGACCAGTCAGTCAGCAATGATCACAGATGTCACTATCGACGAACTTGTATAAAAATTGTAGGACTTTTATAGGTAATTAAAGAAACTAAAGTGAACATGAATGCTTAAAACCGACGAGTAATTCGGAAATTGAAAAAATAATTGGAACATATTTTTTTTCTTATAAATAGGTTTTTTTTTAAGGGGGGAAAATCATCGAATGACTGCTGCGCCTGGGTGAGGCGGAAGGGAGTGTCAGACTCTTACTGACTAAAAACCACCCCGTTCCTTCTCCTGCACGTCGAGCCTTAGCCTCGGTTACCCGTTAGGTTCTCCGCGACTCCGAATCGGCATCGGCCCTTTTGGGCCCCATCTGTGGTGGTCTGATGGCTCTTTGAGGCGCGCGCGGAACGCGACGCGCCGCACGCTCGGGTCTGTTTCTGGTCGGACGGGGAGCCACCAATGCTCGCCGTCCGCAGGCCCGCGCTTACGGTGGCCGGAGATCGTCCCGCGATCCCCGACGCCCGGTGTGTCCTTCGCGATGGCTGGGTCCCGCCTCCTCCTTAGCTAGCATGACTGCTTCGCAAAAGGAGGAGACGGCATCCCAGTCCCCCTCGCTCCGCATCATGGCCTGCACTAGGCCCGGACGCGAGAGGTCGCCATCGCCGATCACTTCCCTGAGGGCACGGCGGTGCTCAGCCCACGCAGGGCCTTCCGCTACAGTGTGTTCCACCGTGTCCTCAGGGCGCTTATAAATATGTAAGACTTTAGTTTGCCTATTCAAACTCAAACAAAATGTATACGCTTTTTCGTCAAAAAAAAATTGGCACCCCTACCAGTAGGTAACCAATAAATTAATGATTTGTAGTACCGAGATAAACGTCCTGTTTAGCACCTCCAAACTGTTTACATTTTCTAGTATTATTTGTGGATGCCGTCAGACGAGTGGACAAACGTCAGCTTCCGCCTGCCGCCTGCCGCCGCAGGTAGATAACATTGTATTGCAATGACATGTGTGGCTGTCACACATATTTATCAGAGCCAGAGCTGGTGTCGGTTTATTGAAACACCTACATATAACTAAGTGGTCACGGATCAGTGGGATCAGTTCCCTATTTTTGAACCTAATTTAGTGACGTTTAATAATTCAGTCATTTAGTACCTAATTCTAGATAGAATGTTTTCCGGGACTTTTAAAAATTGGCAATTTTGTACATTTTGATGTGCTCTTTCAGATTTCCATTTTGCACCTTTGTAGGTACGTACGCCGTTATCTTGGAAAAAAGGCGGTCGAAGTATTTTTACAATATCTTTTTTCCTGTGCATTTTATGAGAAAACGCTTAGTACAAAATTAAATTATTCACAATTATCTACAATTAATGCCTAGCTAGACAACTTTTCCGTAATACATATAAGTAGTTTTGGCGCCAAAGCACCGCAAAGTACATTTTTATGAGAATTTTAGAAAAAATAACTAACTTCCACACCACGTAAAAATAGAAATCGAGACGTCGCAGATCAAAATTTCGCCTGGTTTATTTGCGACGCCTTCCTGTAGATTAATTACAAGAGATGCTATTGTATTGTAAGAATGCTATTGTAACAGCTACGATTGAGGTTATAATAATTTAGACATTGAATAATTATTGAGATTTTTGGAATTCCAATGACATTGAGATTGATTTTAAGAGTATGCACCCAGGTCTCTCCATAAGACCTGTAATTCTTACATCACTATGTATATATACAATCGATTTCGAAACTAAAATTATAGCTTTTAGACTTTTGACCTTTGACGTACATCTCTACTTACCTCCTTCGACATACCTACCTAATTAGTAAACGTTTATACCATTTGCAGATATTTTATTAGTCCAAACACAAGCTTACTTCTGGAAGTATTCTCCCAGCTGGCTTTCAGGTCTATTTCAGGCAGTCGATAACAAACTGTGCGTACATTTAGGTACCTACATAAGGAATAAAACAGTTCCAGGATTAAGTCGATCGAGAAGTAGATGCCAATATATGACGACCACATAATATCTATATTATATATTTAGGGATAGCATCCCTAGACTTTTCAACAGAAAACTGTTTTTGTCTGATATAAGGGCGAGATTGTCTAAGACGATTATGCATAAGTTGGAACTTAGAATTGTGGTTGGTAAAGGCCTGTTGACTTAAACATCAAGCTCTGCGTGCGTAACTCCGTAGTCTGTCAGTGTGGCCAGACGCCTTCGTACGATGAACCAACCAATCAGAGGCCCTGCTACGAGTTTGTTTTACGTATAAAGTAATCGAAATACACACTCGTACTGAGTACGTCACGTATCAACCACTTATCCGTGTAGGTGTATAGTATACATGTACTGATAGCTCCATACTTGCCCTAATTTGGTCTAATAATCTAATTAGAAGGACAGTTGTTAGGTACATGTGTATGTGTAGTAAGTAGTGAAGTAGTGTTAATCCTTACTGTGCCAGTGTCTATCTTGTACATGAAGACATTAAGTGCAGTGTAGACGGCAGTAACCTGAGGCCTTAGTCTTATTTAGTAGGTACGCTTTATTAGGTAGGCAAATATCATTTATTCATCTCTTTCGCAATATTTCAAGTATTCCGACAAAGACGAAGAAGATTACGCGATCTTCTTTCACTCGATAACACGCCATTCTCTGGCTTTGAATCCGGGAATCGGTTTAGGAGTTTCCTCGTGCGCGGTAATGAAGACTTAGCTTTACTAAGTGTTCAGTGTTCTGCAACATAGTAAAACTAATAAAGAACCGGTACTTTTTGTAGCGACGGTAATCATCAGAAGCAAACATACGAGGGAACTCATTATGCAGTTCAGGAGCATCGATTGGACCGTTAATCATTGTGTAAATTATATCATTAAGACTTATAATTGCAGTTCCCGTCTAACTTATAATGTGGCTATGATTGGGTATGAGGAAGGGTAACTAACCAGTTACGCATTTGTTTGTACATCGGAGAAATGTATTCATGACGATTCCACACAGCGGCGCTGGATTCTAGTTTGCTACGTACGAACTTGGTATACATGGTTGTATAATAATTTCATAACATGCTGGCTGTAAGGCCAAAGGGGGCGTTATCGAAAACAAACGCTAGCCTACGGAAAGAATTATAGATAGTCTATGTTTTTAGTAAAGACGCATCTAGCATCTTTCCAGTAATTTTTGTATGAAAATATTACAATCACACATACAACAATTCTTTTATACACTAGGTATGTTTAAAAACCGCCTTCAACCCCGTCTCTTTTTGAAGTCGGTTAATTAATATACTAAAACTTGCTCCTAGGCATAACAAACACTTTTCTGAAAACCGCATCAAAATCGGTTCAACCAATCGTGAGACAACCGCGCACAAACATATACATACATACATACATACACACATATTATACATACATACATACACACAAACATATTATACATAGATACCAACATATTATACATACCTACATACGTACATACATATGTACAGGTCAAACTGAAAACGACCTATTTTTCTCTTCGAAGTCGGTTCAAAACACAATTAATGTTTCTTGTATACAATACTAATGTCTGCCCGCGATTTTGTACGCGGAATCCCGTATTATCCCGTTCCCGTAGGATTTTCCGGAAATCCTTGGTTAAAAAGTGTCCTATGTCCGTCTTCCAGTTCTAAACTGAGTCCCCACCAATTTTCAGCCAAACCAGACTTAGCTGTTCTTGAGTTCTGAATAGTGTAACTAACACGACTTTCTTTTATAATAGAAGATGTTAAGTACGTACGAGTATAAATACGTAGATTCATAATTGCAGATTTGACACAATGGAACAAACAAAACTTGTCAATATCTGTAATTACGAAATCAATGTTAAACAATTTTGCAACTATTACAGAGTAAGGTGAGTAAGGCCCTCTGTATTTAGCTACGGGCGGGCCGGAGGCCAGGCGCGTCGCTCGTTGTGCTTGTCATATCTATTTAGCGATTAATTATGATAACGTTGCAGGTATTATCATTATCACTTAATGTCTTGTAGCTGTTTGTACCTACGCGTGTGAGGCGCTGGCGACCTGAGATAGGCAAACAGATACGACATTCTAATTATTTAGTCACAGCTGACTAGCGGCTGTTGTAACTGCAGATTCTGCAGCTACAAGTTACGACATATGTATCGGCACTGCGATATTATTATTTAGCAGGAGATTACCCAATCTGGATAATTTGGTTTGGGGTTGGTTGTAGTGGTCGTTATAATAACATACAAAATAATCTTACAACTGTAGTGCACATGATTGTGTACACCCTTATACCCGGACCTTCAGTTCAGGCCGCAGGCTCGCAGCCGATGGCATTAGTGTACTACACCGCGGCTGCCAGGACAGTCAATCAAAACTCTACATTAAAGATTTTTTAAAGAATAATTGATCTACACTCGATATCGAAGTCAGAAATATGGTTTTTAGAATTTTTGTCTGTTGGTCTATATGTATGTATGTCCGGGATGATCTCAAAAAGTTCTGCATGGATTTACTTCAAATTTTGCATGAATATTACTAACAGGTCGGGTCAACAATATTATGTTATATTAGATTTATTACGCAATATTTCAAAGTTTAAAACTGATAGAATATAAAATATCCAGTCAATAGGACCTGTGAAAGGGGCTTACATTCAAGCGCGGGGCGCGCGGGGGCACTCCGGCAGACGTCTGCGGACGGAGGTCGTCGCCCGTCTGTGGAGGACCTCGGAGTACGCGTAACAGTTGGCTGAAAGCCTTTCAACTCTCGGGCTGCCGATCTACAGGTATCGATCGAGCTGCCGATGTCGCGTCCCTCCGGGCGGCGCGCCGTGGCTCGGTCTGTGGTGCGCGCCGCCACTCCGCGAGTGCACGCGTCTATTGGGGATGCCTTTCCTGAAACTGTTTGATGGGCTTGACAGTATTGATATATCAAATAGTTTAAAGCATTATTATTCATTGATAGTTGATACGTACTTAAATAATATAGAAATTTGCTTTGAGAGGTTTTTTTTTCGCCACGGTGATCTTTCATGCACTTTCCGTTGCTTTCTGTTGGTTCTGTATTGTAACCAATCTACCAAGATGTTCGCAGAAGTTTAGTCATACTTAATTAGGTTTGTTATAATAATATTGACTTTGTATAAATATGACCAAGCGATGCATTTCGACTAAGGTGTATGATGCTTCCTGGTGCAGTTCTATATTGGATAACATATAAATAATATGTTAAAAATTTCTTTTATTATAATTTATGTTGTATAGTATGATGGTAAAACGTACCAGCATAATTCTGTAGAGGTGTTAAATGTACCATTTTATTTACTTAATAAAATCTTGACGTTGTGGTTAGAAAGAAGCAAAGAAAGAAACACAGTGTATTTGCACTGTAATACAATTTTTAAAAACATTAAGTTTTTTTTTAAGCAACACTTGCGTTGTGTTTCGTCGTGTGAGTGAGGTTACCGCAGGCCCAGTCATCCCTCTCCCTAATCTCCCCAATCCTTCAATTCCTAATCCCCAAAAGGTCGATAACGCACTTGTAACACCTCCAGTGTTTCGGGTGTCCATGGACGGCGGCGATTGCTTGCCATCGGGTGATCCGTCATCACGTTTCCCGGTTTATTCCATAAAAAAATTACGACTACAATGACATGATAAACGTCATCATGGTGCAAAAAGGCCAGTGCTCAGCTACATGCCGTAACAATTTTAATAAGCGCGGTACGCGCTACATTTCGTAGCGCGTACCGCGTAGTCCGTAGCTCGTGGCACGTGAAAAACACTGCTACGGAGCTACGAACTATGCGCCACCACGCACCGGCTAAAAACTACGAGCTACGAACATCGCGCTACGAGCTACGACCCAGAGTTAGCCTATGTTCACATGTCAAGCATTAAACGCTTATAACTAAATGCGTTTAACATACATTTTATTTCGACCGGCGCGAGTTGCATGTAAACGAAATGACACGTGTAGTCAAATATATTTGCGCCTTCACTAGCGTTAGTCCAGCAAAGGCATTCGATAAACCCATGAGTAGTCGCGGCACCAATGCAAGAGTAAATAAATACACGGCGCTAGGTTAGGCATGTCACCTAGTGTTAGAAACTTAGCTGTACACGATGATATCTGTGATCTGTATGGTGTTGTTGCCTTTACATGTCATTGTTTAATGTAGTGACGAGTGCTTTTAAATATGTAAATTGTACATGGTTCAGATTCACCACTCTAATTTGTCTGAGCTGCATAGCCGTACAATATAAACAACTTTGTTAATACTATTTTCCTTCACCGTTTGTGAGTGGACTTGCCAGGTTTCGAACCCACACCCTAAGACTAAGGCTTGTCATGCATAAGGGTATGGCGGGTGAGGCGGAAGGGAGTGTCAGACTCTTACTGACTAAAAACCACCCCGTTCCTTCTCCTGCACGTCGAGCCGGAGCCCCGGTTACCCGTTAGGTTCTCCGCGACTCCGAATCGGCATCGGCCCTATTGGGCCCCATCTGTGATGGTCTGATGGCTCTTTGAGGCGCGCGCGGAACGCGACGCGCCGTACGCTCGGGGCTGTTTCTAGTTGGCCGGGGAGCCACCCATGCTCGCCGTCCGCTGGCCCGCGCTTACGGTGGCTGGAGATCGTTCCGCGATCCCCGACGCCCGATGTGTCCTTCGCGATGGTTGGGTTGCGAGGAGGCAGCGCTTCGCTGCCTCACGCGTAACGCCTCCTCCTTAGCTAGCATGACTGCTTCGCAAAAGGAGGCGACGGCATCCCAGTCCCCCTCGCTCCGCATCATGGCCTGCACTAGGCCCGGACGCGAGAGGTCGCCATCGCCGATCACTTCCCTGAGGGCACGGCGGTGCTCAGCGCACGCAGGGCATTACACTACAGTGTGTTCCACCGTGTCCTCAGGGCGGTCCTCGCAGTGATGACACCCGGGCGTTTCCTCCCACCCCATCAGACACAGATACCTCCCGAAACTTCCATGTCCGGTGAGGACCTGCGTCAGGCGGTAGGTGAGGACGCCGTAGCGTCTCTCAAGCCACTCCTCAAAGAGGGGTCTTACCGCTGCAATGGCAGCGAGGCCAGCCCTCGGTTGCGACAGTCGTTGCTGCCATTCCGCCATGAGATCGCGCCGGAGGTCATCCCGCCACGCACTTATCTGGCGCGGCAGCGGAGTCCCGGCTAGCACTTGGCCGGTTCTAATTTATCTTGAAAATGCATGTAATGTTGAAATGTACTTTGTAAGCCCTAACTATTTTTCAAAACAGGATTTAGGTCATTAATATTTCAATTTGGTCAATTTTCAAATATTACTGACTAAAACCCACCAAGTTCCTACTTCTGCGGCAAGTTACCCGTGCTCGCCGTCTGCAGGCCAGGGCGGTACTGTGGTGGTCGAAGATCGTTCGATCTTCGACGCGCATAGTGTCTCTCACGACGGTTGGGGCGAGGCAGGAAAAGACTGCATACCAGGCCCATCGCTCCGTACCATGGTCGAAACCAGAGTCGAACGCGAGAGGTCGCGTCGCCGACCACATCCATGAGGACACGGGTGCCCAGCTTACGTAGGGCACACCGCCACCGTATGCTCCACCACCGTGTCCATCAGGTGGTCCTCGCAGTGATGACACCCGAACATGGGTTTCCTCCCGCCCAATCAGAAACAGGAAATCCCGCCACGCTCTAATCTGGCGCGGCAGCGGAGATTCACCCCGGCGACGTGCCTCCGCGCGCAAACAATACCCGCGCGCGAGGACCTTCGCTCTCCAGACCCCAGCGGTAATCCGGCAAGGAGGTTCGCCGTCTCCCCGGAAATCGTATTCATATTTACAAACTGAGCGTGGCCACCTGGTTTTGTGTAGCGCAGCCAGCGCGTGTGTGAGTCGGGGTCCGCGGCTCGTGCAGTATCATGTCGGATTTGGAGCACGATACTGAGGCAAGGCAGTCCCTTGATGCTTTGCTCCACGCCCGCCACCCGCGATACAACCACGTCTCACATTGCATGCCCTCATCATTAGAGGGCAACAGATGGTAATAGAGCTGGAAGTATCCAACTACAGAAATATGAAGCGTAATGCCAGTTCGGATTGGCGGCGCTCAGTCTGATTACAATAACAGGACAGCATCCGGGAGCACTGAAAGCTAACGTGTGATCATTAACATTTCAGAACCGCAGCAGTGCGAGCGCGGCGGCGTGCGGCATGGAGTGCGGCGTGGCGGCGGGCGGGTACCCCGCGCCCCCCGCGCACCCCGCTCTGTCGCCCACCGAGCGCTCGCCCGCTAAGTCCGGTCTGCACGTTAACTTCAGCGACAAAGGAGAGGTAACTACTCCCTGCTACGAATCTTACCAATTTCACACATGTCTCAAATAAGTAGTAAGACTGTATCGGATCAATACCGAGTACCTACATACCCAATATACCGAAATGTAATGGAGAAAACTTACATCAATAACTATATAGATCGTTGCAAGCAGTTTCACACCCTTCCATTATGTGAGCGCCGTAAAATTGCAGATTTATCATTCCTGTTCAATATAGTAAATGGCTCATTAGATGTACCGGAGTTGGTGGACAGAATAGGGTTGCGTGTGCCTTCTGCTTTTCTGCGCAAACCTGTACTTCTCAACGTCCCGTCTACCAACACTGTTTATAGACAAAATTCATACATGATAAGAGCGTGTCGGACATACGATTCAGAGTGCCGGAGGATTGATTTAGATTTATTTCACACTAGCGAGTAGCGTACGTAGATTAAAGAAATTAATGTCTTCAAGTTTCTTTCAAACATAATATCTTTTTTCTTTTTGTTTTTCAAAACAGTTTTTTTTGTTTCGTCATGTGCTGTCTTTTTAAACTAGTAATTTAATTAACTAAGTATAAGCGGAAACTTGTTATTGGCCGTTTATCTATAATTTAATCTATCCTTATGTTATAACTAGCTGTAAGTTTTCCTAAAATTGTAAAATAAAAATAAATAAAATAAAAATTGAAAAAGTAACACCGAATTTTCCGAAATTTCCTGAGATAATGAGAATAAAGTAGGTATAGGTTAGTAATACACTAACTAATACCGCGCGGTTTCACCCGCTGCGTTCGGCTCAAGTTCCTACAGACTGTAGCATGGTGCTTAATAGCCTTCCTCTTTAAATGGACTATGCAACACCGAAGAAAATGCGTTCAAACACCATTAGCAAGAGGATAGATACACTGGCGAATTAAGACGGCAGTTGTCCCTATTTATAAATCCCGTCCAAAGGACTTAGTGAACAACTATCGGCCTGTTTCTCTATTACCATCAATCTCTTAAGTTCTTGAGAAAATTATAAATAATAGACTAATCTCGTATCTTGAAAAGAATTCCCTTATCTACCAGCAATTCGGTTTTAGAGCTAAATTGTCTACAGCAAGTTGAGTACTGTACACACTTTAAGTAACTATACATATATCAGGAAATCCTTAGGTATATAAAAACCAATATTTTTCTTGAAACACACTAACACTTGAATCGTTGGCCTCATTTTACATCTTACCATTCTTATACTCTGTTGATGAACCTTTCTTACTCACATTTTTTTACTACAATTTCCGAAATAATTTATGCCTAAGTAACTACAGCTATTCAGTTCTGTTACTGTTGTATAAATGTTGAATGTAGGCACAGGCACACTTGGGCACACTTTTATACTGTTTTATTACATTATGTAGATGTAGATAAGGTATACATAGATTAAAAATTTCACGTGCGAGAGACATGCTTCGGCAAGACTTGGCTGGAACGACCGGAGTGATACCACGGCGTCACAGGCGTGAAACGACGCTTTCTTTGTATTTCACCGTGTGAGTGAGGTCCCTGGAAAGTGCCCAAGTAAAATTTCAAGTAACCATCAAATGTCGTCATTCACAGGTGAAGGAGCGGCGCGAGAAATTCCTCACGGCCAAATATGGTAGCCATCAGATGGCGCTGATCCGCAAAAGGCTCGCCGTCGAGATGTGGCTGTACGACGAGCTGCAGAAGTTATACGAAACACCGGTGAGTGCTGCATGGGAATCGAAAAGAGCACATCCAATTCCACTAAATTGCCGAGTTACAAAACTCCCCGAAAACATTCCAGGTAGCCCCATAATTCCCTCCTTAATTATCGGACTACTTGTTTTGTTTTCGAAAAGAGCGGTCGTGCGAGGGAACTGAATGAATGACACTCTGTCGGATGAGTTCGTATCAACTCGGCAATTCGCATTCGCGAATGTGGGTAACAGATATTCGCATTCGTGAATGTTTATAAAATGACATTTATTACATCACTAGCGTCTATCATAAACTACCTGAAAGGGTAAGGCAGATGTGCACTGTATTAGGTACGGCACTTAATGCCACTGTACAATGTAACACCCACTGTTCTATTTATGTTATGAGTTCCATGTAATAGGGGGTGTGCCTATTGCCATATATGAACACCGGGCACAATTCCAGATTCCGTGCAAATACTGAGATTTTTTTTAATCTCAGAATCGAACCCGAATCCCCGAATAAGTTTATACAAAACAAAATAATTCATTAAAACCTTAATAGATACCTAATGTACAATTTTGTGGCCATTAAGTTATATGATTATGATATGAGCTTTGTCGCGGAGAACCTAACGGGTTACCGGGGCTCCGGCTCGACGTGCAGGAGAAGGAACGGGGTGGTTTTTAGTCAGTAAGAGTCTGACACTCCCTCCCGCCTCACCCAGTCATTCGATGATTTTCTCCGCTTAAAAAAAATGGCGCCGACTTCTAACCTATCAGTGGGTGGGTAACCTATCAGTCTAATAATAGTTATTTTTTGCTTTTTAGTTTTGGATTTTGTTTATTTGTTTTTGTTTTTTTTAAACGCAGTTTTTATTTTATTATTTTATCATTTTCAGTGCAAAGTTGTATAAGTACCTACATAACTACAAAATTCAAATCAATACAAATTATACAAGCCCAAACATAAGGTAGTTACTATAAACGGTTGAAGAGTTCTCTTAACAATTACACTTCTTCATTATCAGACCCTTAACGACAGCCCCACTCTATCTAGGTGTAAAGTCCTCATCAATACAAATTAATCAAGCCCAAAGACTAGGTACTTAGTTAACCGTAGAAGAGTTCTCTCGACTGTCTGTCGGCTCCATCATCAGGTCGACTCCAAACCCTTATTAAATTGTAGTGTTTAAAATCCTAATTGAAAAACATAATAAACGTAACATAGTATAGTTTTGAAAGTTGCCCTCGGTTTCCCTAGGATTCCATCATCAGATCCTGACCTCATGGAAATGGGACTATCTCGGGAGTATACCCTTTCAAACAAAACAAGAATTTTGGAAATCAGTTCACAAATGGCGGAGTAATCGACGATCAAACAAAAAAATTAACAATCAGTCGAACATAGTACCTCCTCTTTTTTTTTGAAGTCGGTAAAAAACTGCGTTTAAAAAACCGACTTCAAAAACAAAACTAAAAACCAAACAAGTCGGTGCCACCGACCCCGAACAAAGTATTACTTAGTTTAATGGTTAATATTATCAATGTAGTAGGTACCTTGAGTGAGATACAGAATCCTAAGTACTTACAAGTTTCGGTTGTGGTTGCAGAAGGAGGGCGCGGCAGGGGCGGCGGGCGCGGCGGGCGCGGCGGGGGCGTGCGCCTCGCAGGAGGTGGAGGTCGACATCGACGAGCTGCTCGACATGGACAGCGACGAGCTGCGCCGCCGACACCTCACGGTGCGTGCCCCCCCCCACACCCTCCCCGTCGCTGACTCGCTCCTCGTGCCGATGTGCTCTACTGCTATACATATTATTTCTTGTTACAGACTTTACTAGCGGACGCCAAAAAACCTCAAAAAGATGTACATGTAAGTCCATATACGGTTTATTTAGATTAATAAATAATTACACACATACACAAACCCTGTGAATACTGAAGGAGGTTCAGTTCACTATGCGGTAGTGGCGCCGCGTATAGGGACGCTAAAGAGCCACATAATAAGTAAATTTAATTCCGTAATATTGATATTAGTTGGGATTCATTGGTGGTCCATCATTCGCTGATGACTCTGACGTCATGGGCTGCTGCCTGTGAAAGGCCACTGCTGGACTCTTAAAAGAAGGCGTTGTCGTAGTCATGACCTCAACGCTTAGCACCAGGGTTAGAGATGTACTATGGCACACGACAAAATTATTGGCGGTCGCCAGTAGCTATCTAGAGATCTGTACAACTTCTAGTCTTCTCAAGCGGCACCTACAGTGACATCTATATTATACCTGACTTATTAACGTTTTTCATTTCAGAAATTCATTAATGATTTGTTAGAAAAAGCGAAAACTCTTTAGATTACGGAACCAAATCTCATTGGGTTGACTGAGGAGTGGACGACCGGTAGCCGGAGCCCACGGCGCACATATCAGGCAGCGCCGGACCACGAGCTCGTGACCACGCACCGGCCGTGTGGAGCCCGCTTCTATGTCATTGTTACATTGTGTAATTCTCGTAGAATTGATATTGTCACTTGTTGGTACTTGATGTCGTAACCCAAGCGCCATCGACAGTAGCGACTAGGTTTACGACGCGTACGGACTAGCGACCTGATAAAGTGTACCTAGACCTAATGTAGAGCACGAGGTTCTCTGTTTGCTGAATCTAAGCAGGCCATTGTTTTGCTACAAGAGAATAACTGTGTAAGGATAGTTATGTTAGAAAGTATTGTAAAGTTAGCCAACTACGATGTATATAGTTACAATTGTAGGCGTCTACATTATGTAGCGCCGCGCGCCGTCGGCAGCCTGCACGACGACACGACATTGGGAACTTGTTCTAATTTACGCGTAAGAATATCTTGAGTGCAATAATACTAATCTTAATGCTTGTGTGGCGTACCTATTGAATATATTGCGAGGAGATTGCTTTTTGTACTTTAAACTTACGAGACTGACTCAGTGGTCTAGTGAAGTGACATCTTAATCCGAAGGTGCTGCGTTAGATTGCCAGACAATTTTGGGCAATTCAATGTTAAAGTTTTGCCAGGGTTCACTCGCCCGCTCATATAAAACTTACGAGATGTGCCCACAAATATTGGAATTCTATTGAAGATACTTCACAAACTGGAATGCGTCGATGTGTTAATCTACGCCCTAATACATTTACGTGCATCCTACATACTTGTACAATCTAATACAATACTACTAATCAATGTGCATTTCACTACATAAGTAACTAAAATTTTTACTAGTAGTTAAGTACACCCAACTAAACACTTCGTCGTTGGAAGAATGAGCTCAAGTTGAGTAAGGCCTCCAACCTCGTGGCAACAGATCTTAGAGCCCTAAATGGCACAGCAATAAAATGTCATAGAGTATGATTTAGATATTGCTTGCTCGCAATAAAGCAGACAACAATATAACTACCTAATTATATAAACATAATTATAATATGTTGTACATAAGTATAATAGGTATATTTAACGTCACAGTTTTCTAGTGGGTACCTATTGTTTTAATGGGGCAGTGAACAACAACCGTTAGAGCACATTGCATTTTTATTAAACAATTCAAAGTAGCTACTACACGTTCATGATGCTTTCAAATTACCTATTAACATGTTTTCAGTTGTCAGCTGAACTGATTCTTGGCTCAAACGATTCGTTTTCAACTCAAATAAGACGCACCTCAATAACGTACTAGGAACTTTATACGTAGATATAATATAGGTAAGGCATACAGACGTGATCTGAGCAATATCGCTATGTAACTGGCTGTGAAAGCTGTCAGTCTTGCCTCCATAGATTCCATAAGTGTTAGGATTGAGAGACCGGGCCTGGACCTAAGCCTAGTTACGTCAGTCTACGCCACTGCCAGTATAATTATTATGGGTTATCGTTGCAATATTTGTAGCGGAGCTAGTAGTCTCGATAATGTTCAGTGTGGTGGTCTCCAAATGTAATTACTTTGTAATAAATAATTTTAATAAAACATTATTGGTTTTAATTACTAATTCTTCCTTGTAAACATCACCTACAGATCAAGGACGTTGAAAAAAAGGCGGACGCAATGTCACTCAAAAATAATTGGGGACCCAAAATGTCAGTGGTTTATTTATGTGTGCGTATGTAATGCGCACGAAAACGGCCTCCTTGCTGCGACGCCTGCATGATAGTGCAGCATTCTGAAAATGATTGCTGCACGACACTGGGTGGCGACAGTCATACATAAAAACGAGAACAGATAAATTTAACAATACTAGCATAATTTAAGAAATACTATTACTAACCCACAATTACTAACAAAACTATGGATAAAAGAAAAATGGTCCGAAATAAAAGATTGATTATTATTATAATGGGTAAAAAAAACATTAGGATGTCAATTACTATACGGAGTTATTGGAACAATAAATTTAGTTATAGTTGTATAAATTGTGTTATAATTGATAAATTAAGATTATAATATTGTAACGCGGCAATTCGATTTTGGTTTGTGTCGGACGCACGCGCGCAACTTTAGTGGCAACACGCTACTTCAGTATTCCTGTTTCCCCGCCACTGACTGCTCGACTGTATTCTCGAAGTGGTGCAAACGGTCATTGAAGGACGCCACGCCTAGATTTCCCCTCGCTAAAGACCAGATGCCACACAAAACGTTTCTGAACCCTTTCCAAACGCAACTTGTGAGTGGCATAATGCGGTCTCTATACAACACTACAATACTCCAAAACACTTCGCACCAAACTATAACATTATTTTGGTGCTACATTTACGAAAGCCTTTGGTATTACGAAGTACCTAGGAATCCTAACATTTTTGATAACCTTCCAATAATGCTCTCGATATGTGGCACGAAAGTGACCTTTTTGTCAAAAAGAACTCCCAGATCCCTTATTGTTTCGACCTCTTGAACTCGCTCCTGATCTATGAGATACTCCGAGTGATGCAATGAATTTTCGTGTTTTTTTTAAGGGGGGAAAATTATCGAATGACTGCTCCCGCCTGGGCGAGGCGGAAGGGAGTGTCAGACTCTTACTGACTAAAATCCACCCCGTTGCTTCTCCTGCACGTCGAGCCGGAGCCCCGGTTACCCGTTAGGTTCTCTACGACTCCGAATCGGCATCAGCCCTATTGGGCCCCATCTGTTTCTGGTCGGACGGGGAGCCACCCATGCTCGCCGTCCGCAGGCCCGCGCTTACGGTGGCCGGAGATCGTCTCGCGATCCTCGACGCCCGATGTGTCCTTCGCGATGGCTGGGTTGCGAGTAGGCAGCGCTTCGCTGCTTCACGCGTCCCGCTTCCTCCTTAACTAGCATGACTGCTTCGCAAAAGGATGAGACGGCATCCCAGTCCCCCTCGCTCTCCGCATAATGGCCCGCATGTGTTTTACTCACGTTGGCTATTCCCCATAATTGTATACCTACTATAAGTCCAAATTCGTTTTGATATTTGGCTTTGTAGACAGTCATTTTATATCGTATGTCGGCCTATTAACCATTGAAGATCACGCAACTATGCGTCCAATTGTTTGAGCTTGTTCCATATACAGGTTGTCCTTGAAGCCGATGATTAAATGGCACCAGATGATCAGCAAGATTCCAACAGTTATCACAAAAATAATCATGAAAAATCTAAGTCATATAGTTTTTAAATTACAATGAGTTATCCACGAAAAAGTACACCCTGTGCCAGTCTTTTGACTGTTGTTGCTACAATTCTTTATTTGATATTTGTTGATGATTTTTTTTCTTTATTCAGGAAACAGACAGTCTCTTACAAATAAAATTATTAAAATACAATGTGATACGTACAGACCTAGAGTTCCATAAAACAGATATGATGATATTTGTTGGAACCTAGCGGATCATCTGGTGCAATTTGATCGTCGACTTCAGTCAGGGACACTCTGTATATGTTTGCCATGGATATGACATCTTTCAAGTAATTATAATGCTTATCTATGCTATCGGCGTAATCGATGTACCTACATATATATTAATTCTTTTATGAAGAAGTTACGTTTAACAAAACCGACTTCAACCACTTGGTTTTTGGAAGTCGGTTAATTAATATACTAAAACCTTTTCCTAAGTATAAAAAACACTTTTCTGTAAACAACATCAAAATCGGTGCAGCCAATCGCGAGATAATCGCGCACAAATATACCTACATATCCTTACTAATATTATAAATCGGAAAGTGAGTTTGTTTATTTGTTTGTTTGTTCCACTTTAACGCCGTAACTACTAAACCGATTGCTTTGAAATTTTGCAGACGTAAAGTTACAAGTCCGGATTAAATAATAGGGTACTTTTTATCCCTGAAAAATTTGATATTCCCGAGGGAAAACAAAAGTTTTGGTATAGGTGGCGCTGTGTGTATTAGTATATGTCACATTGGCTTTTTATCTTTTTGAGACGCGAGCGAAGCCGCGGGTAAAAGCTAGTGTACAATAAGAACAAAAGGAGACCTAATACACTACGCTGCGGGTTTAGAAAATAATTCCCGATTCACTACCTCTTGATCAAATTGTCAATATGACCCACTTTTTAAAGCATTTCATCAATATTTCAAATATTTTAATGAAGTAGGTACACTATTCAAATCCGCATAACATTACGCCATTTATCCCTGAGGGGATAGATAGAGGTGCACATTACGGCACTTAATGCCACTGTACAATGTAACACCCACTTTTCACTATGTTATGAGTCCCATGTACTTAATAGGGGGTGAGCCTATAGCAGCACCGTGCTACTACTGAGATTTTTTTTAAAACCCAGTAATCTTTGCCCGACCCGGGAAACGAACCCGAGCCCTCTTACCTGGCAGTCGCACTTACCACCACTCTGTCAACGAGGCAGTACCTATTCAAATTCATCATTAGGTGGGTAAGTATGAAATGTGAAGATAGCTAAAAAATATAAAAACTTTTGGGTAAACGAAGACCTGTCCCTGTGTACAGAGATACGGCGGATACAAAACTGTGAAACTACGTGTACAATGTAGATAATAGAAACTACGCCGTTTTTTTAAGGGTGGAAAATCATCGAATATCTTCTCCCGCCTGGGTGAGGCGGGAGGGAGTGTCAGACTAAAAACGAGCCCGTTCCTTCTCCTACACTTCGAGCCGAGCCCTGTAACCCGTTAGGTTCTCCGCGGCATCAGCCCTGTTGGGGCCCCATCTGTGGTGGTCGAATGGCTCTTTGAGACGCGCGCGGAACGCGACGCGCCGCACGGTCGGGTCTGGTTCTGGTCGGACGGTGAGCCACCCATGCTCGCCGTCCGCAGGCCCGCGCTTACGGTGGCCGGATACGATCCCGCGATCCCCAAAGATATATAATTATCATAGTCATTGAGAAGGATATTCCATATCAGTGGATGCACTACCTGGATCTTCCGACCACCGTCTTATCCGGACTATAGCACTATGAGCACTCCTGAATCCACCTCGACCAACTAGCCCACGGCACATAGGGCAAACGCATCGTACCTGTGGAGGCAGCTTTGCTTCACATCAGAGGATCCCGACACCTGCGCAGCTGCTGTCGCTACAGGAACAAAGAAACGACCATGGTTTGATAGGTCCTGCAAAACTGCTAGACAACTCAAGCAAGTCGCATTCAGGGCTTGGACCATGGCTCGTAACAATTTCGATCCTAATATTTCTGCTGTGGAACGCGAATTTAATGCTGCTTGAGGTCCACTAAATTGATTTCTTCAGCAAAATAAGCGAGAGGCTAGCAGGCTATCCCTCTGGAACTCGTGCCTTCTGGTCAGTCGCCAAAGCTGCTGAAGGTAACTTCCGTCAGTCGTCCTTACCGGAACCGCAAAATGCCGATGGAAACCTGGCTCACAGTTCAAAAGAGAAAGCCGATCAGAGGCCTTAGTACGAGTTTCTTTTTCATTTAAAGTAATCGTAACGAGTACGCGTTCGGCGCTGTGATTGGCCGGCTCTAATGAACCAACCAATCAGAGCACAGAACGCTGTCTCGTTTTGGTTACTTTAAACGAAAAAGAAACTCGTACTAAGGCCTCTGTTAGGTACTCTTTTTGCCTAAAACTAGACTTAACGTCGACGGAAGCACCATACCTACCACCTACTATCTCGCATTGCGACAACTTTAATGGCGGAGGTTAACATCTCGTCTTGACGTTCATAAGTCGAGCGGGCCCGATGGCATACCGGCACCTCATTGCTCCAACAATATGGGCTTCTTCAAGAAAGAAGTAAACAGGTTTAGAGATCAGCAAGGCGCATGTAATGTCCCATGTGTTGCAAGCGTTCATAGGCCACAGCAACCACTTACCTTCAGGTGGGCTGTGTGCTTCTCTTGCCTCGTATCCACTTGGTAACACTGAACGTGAGATGATGTCATCATATTAGAAATAAGTGAGGATTTCGTTATACAATATCGTATGTCTATTCATGATTCACTCGCCAGCATTCGTCGGCAATATTGTTGCTAGAGGAACAAAATGTTATGGATCACACTTACTGAAGTACATTTCTAGATTATGGTTGCCGATTATTGCCATTTGGCTACGAAACTCTTAAAAAGATGATAGTGTTCCCAGTCTCAGTTTGTAAATAAATGCAACATTAGAAAATTAGTGTATATTTTATTATTAACAATATTCTTGGTCATGACACGAATGTTACTGATAGCACATTATTTAATTAATTCAATGATTTTTTTACTTAAACTATGTTATGGTCTTAGTTTATTCAGTCTATATGATGAACACTCGTTTTAATAATAACTACATACTAATTAGAGAGCCGTCGGATCGTCGGTGGATTGCGCTGCTGCTACCGGGGGGCTAGTAAGCGTCGAGGTCTAGTGCGGGTCGGGGGCCGGCGCGTGCAGGTGTTGCAGCGCGTCCCGCAGCTCTACGAAGCGGCGCTTGAACTGCAGCCCGCAGCCGCGCGTGCGCCGGAACTCCAGCAGCGTGCAGCCGCCGCAGCGCAGCGCCGCCGCGCGCAGGCGCACGCCCGCCCCCGCGCCCCCGCCCGCGCCCAGCTCCGCCACCAGCGTGCGCGCGCCCGCGCGGCGCCAGCTGTGGCCGCGCGCCGCCAGCGCGTCGCCCAGCGCGGCCAGCGCGCGCGCCTCGTCCCCGCGCAGCCACACGCGCGTCATGCGGCGCCCCACGGCGTGCTCGCCCGGCGGGTGCTCGGCCCCCAGCAGGACGTCGTCGGCGTGCGCGGGCTGCGAGTAGCTGATGAGCGCATCCATGTCGGCCGCCGACAGCTCGTCGGGCGCGTCCGTAGCTTCACCCGCCGTGGGCTGGGAACGCCACGCGCGCTCCTCGTTCTCTGTCGATGGGATAGGTCGGGAAATCGTCTCGGTCTCGATTAAGTGCGAATTCCAAAGTACGATACGAATGAAGATTGCGATCGATCGACCGATAGAAGACGAAGACGCAGGCTCCAACGGACGGCAGGTTCGTAGATCGTGCGACGGTACGGTGCTTTGGTAATCTAGCTTTATGAGCTTTTATCACGTCACGGAGCTAAATCGCCAAAGAGCCGAACCGCGCGTCAGTAGATTTCGTCGCGTAGTCCTTCCGGAGGCTGCGAGAGCGGCGCGCGCCGTGCTGAGGCACGAGGCGGCTCCGAGAGCGGCCACTCAGAGTCACCTAGTACCTGACACGAGCACACTCACTCAGAGTCACCTAGTACCTGACTGTCACCTAATACCTGAACAGTGACTCACCCGGCCACAGCCGCGCGCGCGCCCAAGTGGCTGCCTTGAGGGCAGACAGCCCCGCGCGGCGGCTCGCGTCGGGCGCCAGCGCGCGTCGCACGAGCGCCAGTGCAGCGCCGCTCAGCTTGCGCCACGGCCCGGCCGGCGGCGGCCCCGCGCCCGCGCAGTTCGCTTCCCACCACGCGCTCCAGGCCGCGAATCGCGCGTCGGACGGGCACGCGCGCTCCCACGGCAATTCTTCGAACATACAAATATAAGTCACGGTGGAGCTCGGCGCTCGCTGATAGAGATGGATTCATTTACAATTAAGATCGTATTCAGAAGTGGCTCACCGGAAGACGACGAACAGGCCGCTGCGTGTACCGCGACTCGTAACTTCGGTACCATAACTTTAGGGTTTGCGTAACACGCCTACAGCTAGGATACCAAAGAGACGAGCCGCGGCGTGAGGAGACGACGGCCAGACGAGGCTGCAGAGCGCGAGTACTCACCGCCAGCCAACATGGCGAGCAACACGAGCGCGGCGGCCCACAGGTCGGCGGGCGGCGCGCGGTACGGCCGCGCGGCGGCGCCCAGCACCTCGGGCGCGGCGTACGGCACCGTGCCGCACACGCGCGCCAGCAGTCGCTCGCGCGCGCCGTGCCTGTACATTGCCACTTTCTATTCTCACTGGTACACACGGTCTCTGAACGCAGTATTGTAAACTTAAAACTTCAATAAAACATAGCGACAGGAGCCAACCGAGGGCTAGCGCAATACGTCGACGCCTAAACGACACTAGATGATTGTAAGTTACAAAAGATATCAGGAAAATATTTAAAAAGCCATGTCCCTACAAACAATAAATAATTGCTTAACTCGTCGAGTACCGGTTTTATAGACACAATTAAAGAACAATAGGTCGCGGTCACCGGTGACCGCTTGGTGTTTGACAGTTTAATAACGAATTTCATTTGTTTGCCATTATCTGCCGATGATATTAGCGAATGCGAATATGAATATTGGACTTAACATTTGTATCAATTTGTTTTAAGGTTTTAATTTGACAGCTTACTTGACGTGCGAGTCGCAACACTCGTTTGTATACTTGTCTGGTTATAGTAGACATCAAAATAGTAGTCAAATTGGACATACCTAATAGGGTAGTTTCCTAAATTTTATTTTAATGTCCGTCCGGCACATTTTGGTGCCGTTTTATCTAAGTATTGCAACTTAAACTGTCAAACACCAAGCGGTCACCGGTGACCGCGACCTATTGTTCTTTAATTGTGTCTATAAAATCGGTACTCAACGAGTTAATACGAGAAAATAAAAAATACGTGTCTAATATTTTTTCATTATCTAACTGACGGACTAATTAGATTTTTAATTGTGATACCCTGGAAACTACCCAATTAGGGAAGTGCCAAATTTTGGTAAGACTTTGGAGTCATCATTAGGAATAAGTGTCAAAAGTCCCCATCTCGATGTCACCTGTGCGTCAATTGTCATTAGTGATTGGGGTCAATATTTCAAGTTTTTGGGTTCTCTTAAAATTGGTAAATCAAGCATATGAATCAGATTCAAATATCGAAAAAGATGTATAGAAACTTAAAGAGCAATATTTATAATTAAATAAAAAAAGTATTGTCCCTAAAAGCGTCACATCAGGTCACGAGGTATACTGAAGAAAACAAAGTACAATGAAGAAGAGGGGGTTGAAGGGTTTTTTAACGTTACGTTCAAAAAAGCTTCCAACCTATCTTTTTTAAATTGTCGCTTAATTGGTATACTAAAACTTTCTCCTAATCCTAAGTGATTACTTTTCTGAAAACCATATCAAAATCGGTTCAGTCAATCGCGCTCTTACATAAAAGTCAAACTGAGGAACTATTTCTTGTTTGAAATCGGTTAAAAACAGCACCTAGCACCTACACTACTGTGTGTGACAGCGAGCGTCTTTTATAAAACAAATTCTTAGAAACACAAATCTCAGAAATTGTGTCTCTTAGAAAAAATATACAGATCGTTATTGTAGAGAATATCAAGACTGCCCCGTTGGCAGTCGCGAGTGCGATTGCCGGGCAAGAGGCGTCGGGTTCGATTCTCGGGTCGGGCAAAGTATGACTAGATTTTTTTAATCTCAATAGTCTAACGGAGTCTGGAATTATGCCCGGTATATGGCAATAGGCTCACCTCCTCATTACATGTGACTCATACATAACATAAATAGTAAAAACTGGGTGTTACATTGTGGCATAAAATAAAATAAATAAATTAATTAAGTGCTGTAATGTGCACCTCTACCTACCCCTTCGAGAGTAAAAAGGTGTGATGTTATAGTAAGACTTAGTAAGAAAAACTTTAGTAAGTTTAAGAAAAAATCAAGAACTTGTGGTTTGACTCCAAATACCTTTTAAATCACACGTGGTACCTATGGGTGTCTTGCAACAACTTTATTCCTAATGGTGATCCGAAGGTCTCCACCAATATCATGCGTCCTCCGTAACTTATTATTTCAATTAATGTGTCTTTGAAAGGACTGTTTCGACTTCCGAGCGCATAGTAAAATACATCATGCAGATAATTTACTTTGCACAAAGTTTATTTTGAGATCAAATGTAAAAACTTTGCCATATACTCGGTCTCGGGTTCGATTCCCGGGTCGGGCAAAGTATTACTGGGTTTTTAAAAGTTCGCAGACTCCGTCTGGAATTGTGCCTGGTATGTGGCAATAGGCTCACCCCCTATTACATGGGACTCATAACATAGTGAAAAGTGTTACATTGTACAGTGGTATAATGTGCACCTCTGCCTACCCCTTCGGGGATAAAAAGGCGTGATGTTATGTATGTCAAAAACTTAAAACATCGTACGAAAAGAATATGTAGACGAGATAGGCATCGTAAACTTCATTTTCTTAGTTTGGCAAATTGTTATGAAGAGTTTCTTTTTATTTTAAGGGGGAAAATCATCGAATGACTGCTCCCGCCTGGGTGAGGCGGAAGGGAGTGTCAGACTCTTACTGACTAAAAACCACCCCGTTCCTTCTCCTGCACGTCGAGCCGGAGCCCCGGTTACCCGTTAGGTTCTCCGCGACATGAAGAGTTGCTTAGGCATAACTACGCCCAAGGCTATAGTCTAGTCTAGGCTAATGATCACTAAAATACAGTGTTACGGTTGCAAGACAGTTACACCACAAGATAAAGGTTTGTAGTATAAAAGAAATTAACCTTGTTGTAATTGAAAATAGCATTTATTGATAGAAATAATCGCGTTCATATTCGCAATATTCGCATTTAAAACTGCGAATGCAAAAGTAAAAAATTGTGCGAATATTCTTTACATCACTTTTAGTCATTTGTGTCATCCATGAAAAGTACATCATGTGTCAGTCTTTTCACACCTGTTGCTACCTATCTACATTATCGTCTAAATTTTTTCCAGTCGATTCGCGACTCGAGTCACGCATTGACTCGACCTTTTCTAAAGGAAATTGTTGAATTTTATACACGGCATACATAGACATAGCTCGAGGATTAATTCATAATTCTATAATCTCTCTCTAAATAACTATGTATGCTGATTTAGCATTGTAACGTTTGTGAGACACATTAATTAAATGAATAAATTCTATTTTATGGTCAGCGTTTGGCGGGTTAAGCTTCTAATGACTATGAGCCCCTAGCCGGAGTTGAAAATAGTCAGGATGCCTCAGCTACGTGAGTATGCCATCAAATTATTATTTTAGCTATAGTCAATAATTATTGACATAGTATATAAACAGAATGACTAGTATTCCTCACCTGAACAGTGTCGCCATGCCAAAATCAGAGATCTTCAGTTGGTCGCGGGCGTCCAGTAGCAAGTTCTCAGGTTTGATGTCGCGGTGCGCCACCCCGCGGCCGTGCAGGTACTCCAGGCCGGCCAGTAGCTGCAGCCAGTAGCGCCGCGCCGCCGCCTCGCACATGCCCACGTCCGGCTCTACGCACACAACAGTCAGACCGCGCCGCGCCGCGCTGCCGGCCCCCGCCTCTAGCGGCGCCGCGCCGCGCTGTCCCCCGCCTCTAGCGCGCCTCACCGATCCGGTCGAACAGCTCGCCGCCCGCCGCGTACTCCAGGAACAGGTAGTGCAGGCCCTGGTGCGTGCGCTCGCCCAGGCAGCGCAGCACGTGCGGGTGGCGCAGCGCGCGGTGCAGCGCCGCCTCGCGCGCTTGTACCGGCGCGGCCCCGTCGGCCTGGGCCCCATCCGGCTGGGCCCCGTCCGGCCGGGCGGGCCCGCGCGCCACTTTCAGCGCCACGGCGGCGCCGCTGCGCGCGTGCACCAGTAGCCGCACTCTGCAAGCGGCGCGTGTACGTGTAGCGAGTGCCAGAACTCGAGCCGGCGCAGACCTGCGGCCGGCGGAGGCGGCGCGCGGCGGCACTGACCGCGCGAGGTGGATAAACTTTCAAGGATGCGTCGAGCCGCCATGACTCGCTCGTCGTGTTTTTTTTATATCCAAATTGCAGTGTCGATCTAGTTCCGTGTTCGCAGAAGAACTAAGCCTCGAGACTAGTTAAGTTAGTCATTTTACTTATTGAAACGTAAATTCGACGCGCTATTTTACATCCCGCTAATATTATAAATCCTACCAAGTTTGTGAGGATGTAGTTATACGTTTCTTACTTTGTTGGTAGCAATAAATACTTGAATACACTTTTACAAAAACTACTGGACTGATAGGAATTTGAAACACAGATATGTTATATCATATGAGGTAATTTTTATCCGGAAGCGCGGGCGACGCCGCTAGCAAAACCTAGTTCTAGCAATAGATATCCTTATTTAAAGTATCCAAACTGTCTGTATTTCTGTAATATCTACTTCTCAGTTAATCGAAAAGTGAGATAGTCATAGATCTAAAATTACTGCGTAAGAAAGACCAAGTTCTGACAGAGTTGCACATTGTAGGTACGGTACTTATAATAACTTAAATTGCAGGTTTATATTATTATTTTTATTTTACTTACTGTTTTCATTAATGTTTCTTGTTGTACATATTTAATTAACCCATTTTAACATTGGGAAGTATTTTTTTATCATAATTATGTTGTTAGTGTTATATGCATATGAAATAAATTACTTATCCAACCACATCTTGCCCCATTTAGTTAGGTTTAATGCCAAGTATAGCCAATTCCATTTTGCTGAAGCTGAGATTTAATGTCAAATGTTTTGTAAAGTATTGGTATATTACAAACAGAACAATATCAAGCAGGGGCAGAAGTCAAACGAATGTACCTTAACTGTTCTAATATGAAGTAGTCAAAACATGCAATTGACAGCTGGCATTCTTGTTTATAGTCACATTTACCCAGCTGATTTGATTTTGGAACTAGTCTGCTGTAAAGTTTGGTTCTTATTGTCTTGTTTGATATAGAACATAGACACAACAATACAAAAGTACACTTTTGGTAAATGGGTAGTTTTAGAGGCCTGTTTCAAGTGTTTGAATATCACATCAAATCTTTGGTTATGGAGTAAGCCAATAGACAAAACCGCACAGTCTGACATCCAATTGATCAAATACAATTTATTTGTCTAGTGTACAACTTTATTTATATGATAACTACTAGCTGTTCTCCTGCTCTGCTCCGTTGATTGTGGTGATGTTTATAATACCCTATAAACTTCCTCAATAAATTCACTACCAAACACAAAAATAATAATTAAATTGAAACTTGAATTTCTACAGATTACCGTGTTCACACTAATAAACTCTTCAAGCTTTATATAATAATAACAGTTACTATAGTATAAGATAGAGTATAATATGTAAGATAAATGTTAAGTATAAATATTGACAACTGAGGGTGGATTCAGTAAGTGCTGCATAGCAACTGTTTGGTGCTATTAGATCAGTTAGTTGGCAGAGAAACTGAAAATTACATGTTGTGTTACAAATATGGACCAGCATTGTCTATGCTTACAGATGCTCCAGCACTATATGACCAATCTCAAACATTTTACAATTCAAATTTAATATTTTTTAAAGAAACCAGTTTTTTTGTCTGTTATATCCGGAATATGCACAAAGAGATACAATTACTTTAAAATATAAATTACAAAAGAATGTACTTATAGCAAAATTTTCTGATTGGTCTGACTACACTGTCAAGTTACAAGGAGCACAGGTATGTTAGACATGTTAGCCAGCTGCTTTACAAGATGTGTGGGTCTTCTGGACAGCTATAGTTTATTTGTTGTTACTTATTATTCTCTGCTCACCCAGTTACTGTACCAAGAAGGTAATAAATGATTTATTCAACTACCCCTAAACAATGTGAAACCTTTTTTTTGTTGAGGTCAGCAGGTTTATATTGTTCTACTTAGTGCAATTCACAATCATCACATGCTATAGAAATACTTACTCGCCATAAGCACCTTCCCCCAACACCTGGGCGACTAGCCAGCCCTCGACAAACTCAGCGCCGGCAGCCATCGCCCCGCCTCTCACTGTCACCTGCAACATCAACGCACTGTTAGCACCTTCCAGGATCCTGGCGCCGCCGTCTACATAGCGCTCGACACTATATACGAGTTAATAAAAGCAGTGACACTTACTCTACGCCTGTCGCAGGCACACTGGCAGTACTGGTACACTACTCAACGTTACCGCCGAACACGACCACGCCGCCGGGTTGCGGCTCTATATTATTCGTCAGCAAATGATTCCAATTCTTGAAATTTCGTCCCTCTACTTGAGTATTTTAAGGTTTTACTATATTTGATGCTAAAAATTCACAGTTTAGGCATCAATCTAACGATTTATACGGACTAAATGGCGGAAGGCACGTGGAGATGAGTGAACAAAGCGAGAGCCGAACGGCGCCGTCGCCTCGCATGTCTGTCGAAAATTTGCCACACAATGCGATAACGGTATTGGTACTTAAGAAATTGCAAAAATTGTACTATTTTAAATAACTTGCTGATATCCATGACGATGATAAAAATCAAATATCGAATTTGAGAAATCAATACCTGCTATAAACACTAACCTTCCAGAAACGATCAATGGATCACACCATTTTGCCATTTTCTTTTCTTCAACGCCCGTCGCCCGACTCGCCAGTCTACCTAGTACCTATTCAACCAATCGCCATTCGCTCTGCGATTGTCGCTGATTCGCTGAATGATAACCGACAACGAAACACAGATCACTATACTATAGTCTAGTCAGAGAACGTCAACGAAACTGAAATTTGTACTCTGTGGGTAAAATACGGTGAGTGTGAAATGTGAATATGAAATGTCGAGGCGAATCAGTAAACTTGTAAGACATGACTTCGTTTTTTAGCAATAGGCAATATTTATTTTGATTAAATATACCTAATTTTTATTTACTTATTATTATGAAAAAATACTTTTTTGTATCTCTAGCAAGTCGGAAGCTGAAGCTGGGACGGAAATCCTGTGGCTGTGGCATTATGACAAGTGTTCATCAGTATGTGGTTTTGAAGTTAGATGTAAGAATTTCTGAGCTTTGTTATAACCGTGTTATTGTGTTGTTATTGTGACCGCCTTATTATAATATATAAAATACAATGCTGCATCTGCTGGTATATATGTACCATTAATCACACCAATCTAAATCAAGTCTACGGAGTATCTTTATAATAAAGTATTTGCAACTTAAAATACAGAAAAAATTTATAAATGAAAACTAAAAATAACTATTTGCACAGAGGCACAGAGCATCAAAAAATTCGACGACGTCCATAGGGAAAGTACCCAGAAGGTTGGCTACGCATATGATTAACTCGCCTAAAGCTCGCCTGTATCTCGTTGGGATCATAAACATTTTAACTGTACCATTAATACTGGAGTACTATACTCTTCAGAGGTGAAAGATAGGTCAAATTTTTCAGTATTTACTTATGGGTATTAATGCTGAAAAACTAACATGAACGATTTAGGATCCTTGCACCAATGGAACCAACCGTTTCTCTGGTTTAAATGTTATATTATGATCTTAAGCGGAATTCGCTTAGTAAGCTTATGAGAGCTGATAATTCTGAAATGAGGGTTCTGCACCAGCTGGAACTTACATAGAGCAAGTACCTAACCTGACCCTATTCCTGGCATTCCATATTCATAAAAAGCTGGTGTTGGTTTCGTTTATGAAAAGTAATACTCATCATCTCAACAAAATAAATTCTGGCCGCGATATTAGAGTTTTGCCATGACGGTGACAGTTCGTTCAGATCGTCGTCGACAAACGTGTGGACAGACTCTTTATATTACTATACTCTTTGGACAGAAGTGGGGCAGAACGCCGTACGCACCAAGACCGACAACAAACGCAACGGCGGCGGAGGCACGCGTCTACAGATGCGTCCGCCGGTCCGTCAACGTGTAGAGGAAATTTTATTATTATTATAGTATCTGTATGTAGGGCCTTATTCTACTCTTAAAGTATTTATGATGTAGATAAAATTATCGATACCTACGGGAACAATTACTATTACTACATCAATTCTACTTACTTACTACAGTTATTATAAAAACATATTACTACATCATTATTTTTCATATAAAAAAGTTTTGACGCATTTCAATAGGGGCTACCGTTTTTCTTGCTCACCAGATGGCGCAAATGTACAGTTTTTTTTTGTCTAATCACTGCAGGAGACAAATATCGTTCGTTACACTAGCGTCATCTGGTGTGTAAAAATATGGTAGGCTCATTGATATCAATTAAAATAAGAACTGAATTTGTTAGAAAAGTATTGTATTTAGTCTTTTGCAACAAGCACACTTGCATACTTAAAAAAACAGAGAAATATGAAATACGCAGTACTTAGGTACTGATGTAATGTTTCATCTAGAACATGTAGCGGAGCGGTTTCCTAGTACTTTTGCTGCCACATCCAAATTATTTGCAACATTCCGGTATTTTTCTCTTCACTGATCTTTACCTCTACCCCCGCTTCAGCGCGAAAACAATACGAATTATACGAGAATTTTCAGATAATCATCTCGATCGTGCGATCGATCGGGATTGATTTCACGATCGAGACGTTTTTAACAGACAGACACATTTTGACAGATGATCTCCCACTACTGAAACTGATTTTGTAATGGCAAATTGGCCGTAATAAGTATTTTGATGATTTTTTTTAAATCTTTATTATTATTTTTTAAATAAGAAGGTTTTTTCAATAGAGAAAATGTCACCCCCATGATTGGATACAGATAGAATTAACAATAAATTATACTAACATAAATCTAGCCTACCCTCAACCTTAAGATAGTATTTTGATGATGTTACAATATTATTGCCAGAATGACAATGATATGTGGTATCTTTCCGCGTAGGTAAAAGAAAGATACATAAATACAAAAGAAACTATAGTATGTTTATTAATTTAGCATTGAGAAACATTTTCAATTTTGTCCATAGACGATAATTTCCCATCTATTAGATATAGATCAATGTTAAAATCAGAAGATAAACAAAATGACCGTTTAAATGGCGAAAAGGCCTGGTACCTATTTAATGCCTAAAATAACGCCAGAACGCGCCACAGCACGACACTCAGTTTATTTTCTACTTTGAGTCAAAATACCAAGATAAATTTATGTACGTATATTAGTTAACTTTGTACTGTACCTCCTACCTACAGCCACGTACCGACCATAGAAAACTCTTGATTTCTCAAAAAAAAATATATATCAGAATCGATTCCGTAGTTTTAGATAAGAATATATAATCTGTACTTAGCTAGGACATGGCTAGGACGCGGAACAGAAAAAAGCGACTTTGTTTTATGTAGTGATGTTGCCAAAGCATGAATTCATTGTATAGAATATTAAAAAAGAAGTTTAAGATAATTTGCGAAACTGATTCCGTCATTCCAAAATTTCTAACATTGTTTATATTGGAAACCCGATGATGATGATTATATTTGATACCGTCACATTGTCGGTGGGTCAAACAAGTCAACTCAAAGTAAATCATTAAGCGTTAAGTCAAGCTTTCTACTATTCTAGCTACTTCTATATTGTAGTTTAAGAATTTAATATTTTTTCTTAACAATACAAAGTATAATTATAATAAGGGTTGCTTGAGTGCTTGAGTGATGAACGATGAGTGTCATTGTCAAATTGTCGACACTCACATTGAAGTCATTCAAGTCATTGTCAATTACTGTCATTCGTAATCGTTGTTTTATTCCATTCCTAGTTTTCTAAACTCTATGGAGTTTCCTTAAAAGTTGTTTCTATGTCAAAACTTCAAACTTCAAATTATTATGTTGATAGCTGTCGACTGTCGGTTGTCGGGTTGATATTGATAGTACCATCGCCTTATAAGACTTTAAGACTTCGTTGAATAATTAATTGTTGTCGACTTGCGTATGAGTCATTGAATCTTTGCAGTATTTTTTATAACATTTAGATTGCAGTGTCACCGATTAACATGGTATGAAGACAGAAATACGCATTACTTATTTTGTTTTTTGTTGACGTTACAAAATTGCGTCGTCACGTATTTGTTATCTTATGTGAACGCTTTTCGAATTTGTTACAGGCTGGTTATTCAGAAGATCAACTGTTAGGTGAGTAATTTAATGTACCTATGAAACGAGCTTGTACAACTGGCTGGAGTGATGTAATGCACAGTGATTCAAGAGCAACAACAAAATTAAAATAAAACCGTGATGCAGTTTGTGGCGTTTGCGTCCCGAGCGTTGACTGTGACTCATGTCACGTCAATCAACGTCTGTGCCGAAAGTGGTGGCTGTTACAAGCGCCCTAGTTTCCTTATATGGTTTGTATTTTAAAGCGATCCAGGTGTGTCGCCTGGGCCGTCGGCCTCGCTGTGCGCGCAGTAGGTCGCGCTTAGTACGTCGCCGCACTCCCTTGCAACATGTTCATGTACGAGCCTCCCACTAAACTGAAGCTGACCTCCGTCGAAGGTACGCTCTGTACGCGACCACATGAGTCGCCGTGTGCCACGCCCTTGTGTTGCCATTGTGGTGCTCACTTTGTATTAATCTGTGTTTCCCACTTAAAAGACCCACTTGTTTATTTGGTATCTATATAATTTTATAATTAATTAGAATTTCAGGAAGCATTCCAGCTGTTTGATTCTCGTGGTGATGGCAAGATCCATGTAGCACAGATTGGAGATGCCCTGAGAGCTCTCGGTCAGAACCCCACTGAGTCTGATGTTAAGAAATGCACACTACACTTGAAGCCGGATGAGAGAATATCGTTTGAAGTGTTCCTTCCTATCTATCAGGTAAAACTTTGAATATATTTATTTATGAAACAATGCTTATTGTGGGATATGATTAACATTCAATGACTAGGAAAACAGGATACAAGTAAACACCTTGTGTTAATATGTAATATATTTATTTGCTTAAAGCATGGTATAAATAGGTGTTACAAACTATTGTAGTCTGTGGTCTAATACTGTTGTGTTGTCCGAATATTATGTGCTGTAGTGAAGTACAATAACAACGTGGCGCCCTCTAGCAGACAAAACATACAGAGTAAAAAAACAAATATAAGATAAATATGCCGTGTTTGGTATCCTTTGAAAGAGCTTTACTTGTACATTTTGAATATATATATATATATAGATATTGTAATAAGAATGTAATTTCTATAAATAAGAATATATGTATATAGAAATTACCAGAAATAGATGTAACATAAATATATTTTCCTTTTCATTATATTCTTCATTTTAATTGCAGTTATAAATAAATACATAAGAATACTTATACTAGCAGTCCTTATCTATACAAGATCGGCATATATGTATATTGTGCTCATGTCTGTTGAAGAGAATAAAATAAAATTAAAATTGAGTTACTGTTTGCTAGATAGTAGGTGCATCGAAGGAAGGCGAAATGACATGCTTATGTGTGACTGTGTGTATTGGACTTGCGCAGGCTATCTCGAAGGCTCGTAGTGGCGACACCGCCAACGACTTCATCGAGGGCTTGCGCCACTTTGACAAAGATGGCAACGGCTTCATTTCCTCCGCCGAGCTCCGGCACCTGCTCTCCACGCTCGGCGAGAAGCTCAGCGATGACGAGGTTAGTTAGGACCAACACCGCGGCTTGGAATGTCTTCCCGCCGCCCGCACAATGCTTTGAGGCGCGGCGCCGACGTAACTATTACCTTAGAGACCAAAGAGCGCAACAGCAACATTTGCCTTTTCCCTTGTAAGAGTTGTACTGTGTTAATTAATATTGGTATCTACTTAAAAACCTGTGCTGTAATCTCATGTAATTTGCCACAACATACTGAGTACAAACTTAGAGTAACTGTCCACATTGAGACATTTGACGAATGAATACATCCTTCAGAATAAATAGGGGGCCTAGAAGTGACAAGTGCTTGCATTTTGTTTATATTAGAAACAATGAAAGCTGTCCACGAAGCAGTAACGTTAAATCCGCGTATCGTTATTGACAAATGCATGCATGTTGCAGGTGGAGCAACTGCTGCAGGGGCAGGAGGACTCGCAGGGTAACATCAACTACGAGAACTTCGTGCATCTCATCATGCAAGGCTGAGCGTTCTAGCCGTGCCCTAGTGAGTAGTGGCCTCTACGTCACGACGGAGGTCGACGCGACGCATTTATGGTGGTTGAAAGCACCACTCATATAAACTTACAATTCCGTATAATTATGTATTCCCAATCTATTATATTCCAAAATTAAAAATAATTTAAATTAATTCTTGTATAAATAAATAATGGTAACAAAGAAATATTTGTAATTATTTCTTCAAATATTTTCATTTTTAAAGTCTGGAAAAATAAGAATTTAAGCACATAGCGGCATACTGCCGAAAACCCAACCACTGCCATGACTGCAGCACAAGCTACTAACTTATTTCCAAATTTCCAACTAGCTGTGCCCGCGACTTCGTCCACGTGGGATAGTGAAGATTCACAGCTCCTCCCTTATAGGTGTTAGCGTGATACTTATTTTACGTTTTGTTTTTTTTTTGTTTCTCCCGCCTCATTGGGGGGGGGGGGGGGGGTGTCAGACTCATACTGACAAAAACCACCCTGTTCCTACTCCTGCACTTCGAGCCGGAGACCCGCGCTATAGGCGCCAGACGCTCGGGTCAGGCACCTATAAACGACTACACTATAAAAAAAACCACTTGCTCTACTTTCACGTGGTGTGATAATTATTTTGTTTTCCTAAAATGGTCATAAAAATGTTCTTTGCAGTGCTCTGGCACCAAACCTAATTATATTACTAAAAACCTATCTAGACAAAAATTGTAGAAAATTGTGTGTAGTTTAATTTTTTTGTTAACGGTTTTGTAGGAAAATGTACAGAAAACTAAATATTACAATATTTAGTTTTCTAAACTATTTACTAAAAACTATTTTTGGCTGCCATTTTTCCAAGATGGCGTCGCGAACGGCTCACATACGAGGGTGCAAGATGGAAATTGGAAATGAAAAAGAGCACATCAAAACCTTTTTTATTTGTTACATAGGTATTTGATGGGCCGACGTTTGACCACTATCTCGCCTGGTGGTAAGCGATGATGCAGTCTACGATGGAGCACGTCGTACCATAAGCAACCTATTCAGTCGGGCCTTGAAGACACCCTTCAGAAAATACAGAGTCTGGTAAAGTATTCCACTCCTTAGCAGTGCGCACTAGGAAGCTTGATGCGAAGCATTTCGTGCGTGTGGGTGGAACATCTACCATGAATCGAGTCTAGCAATTCCCCTGCACACTTACCGAAATGTATCCGATAGAAAACTGAAAGGCTTGCAACCTTACGCCTGTGTTCGAGGCTTTGAAGCTGGGCCGGACAAGCGCATCATCATTGGTGAGCCTCTTGGCATGCCTCTCGATGTGCTCTAACGCGTCGAGCTGATATTTAGATGAGCCGTCCCAAGGATGAGAACAGCGCTCCATACAGGACCGAACCTGTGCCTCGTACAGGCTCAGCATTGTTTCGGCGTGAAGTACGGTCTCACCCTCCATAGGATACCCAGCCAGTTGCGCTTTCGATTCTATATAGGAGCCAAAGTTGAGTGTGGGAGGCCAGCATGTTGCAATGCAATGCACAGCCAGCGACCTGTGCTCCCGGTCTATATCAGTATTATCTTTAAAGTTGTTTAAAGTCGTCAGTGACCCAGTGACCCAAATACTTAAATTTTGAAACCCGACTCAAAGGGAAGTCTTTTTTAATATTTCTGTAAAGGACCCAATTTAAAAACCAACCTATCCTCTTTTCGGTATTGTATTTCACCCCTCCACCACATAACCTTTTTGGGCTTAATTTGTATCGATGAGAACTTTATACCTAAATGGAATGGGATTGTCATTAAGGGTCTCATGATGAAGAAGTGTAATTGTTAATAGAACTCTTTATCGGTTTATAGTAATTACCCTGTGTTTGGGCTTGCATGTATTGTTTAGAACCTTGCACCTATGTCGGATCTATGTAGCTTAACATTAAAAATTGTAAAATAAAAACTATGTTTAAAAAACCGACTTCAAAAATCGAAAAACGAATAACTAAAAACTAAAAAGCAAAAACCTGATAGGTTACCCACCCATTGATAGGTAAGAAGTCGGTGCCATAAATACAAAATTATTCATTAAAACCTTAATAAGTAGATAACTAATTTACAATTTTGTGGCCATTAAGTTATAATCTCTAAGATGTGAGCTTATGGCGCCGACTTCTAACATATCTGTGGGTGGGTAACCAACAGTACTAATACTTAATAGTTATTTTTTGGTCTTTAGTTTTTAATTTTTGTTTGTTATTAATTTTTGGCTTTTTGAAGTCTCTTTTTTAAACGCAGTGTTTATTTTTTACGACTCAAAACGTGACATTCGTTTATTTAGATTCAGTCAGACATCTAGTAAGTATAGGGTTGCCATGTTTAAAATTTGAAAAACAGGACAAGACGCGTGAAAACCCCGGATTTTAGAGTCCATAACATAGAGGACATATCAACTAGATCTTTTAAACATATTCAATGAAAATGAAAGGGTATACTCCCGAGATGGTCCCATTTCCATGAGGTCAGTATCTCATGATGGAATCCTAGGGGAACCGAAAATTGTAGGGGCGAGTAGTGCGTCTATTGTTTATCAATTAGGATTTTTAAACACTACAATTTAATAAGGGTTTTGGGGTCGACCTGCTCATGGAGCCGACAGATAGTCGAGAGTACTCCTCAACGGTTTATATTAAGTACCTTGTATTTGGGCTTGAATAACTTGTACTGATGGGAACTTTACACTTAGATGGAATGGGACTGTCACTAAGGGTCTGATGATGAAGAAGTGTAATTATTAAGGGAACTTCTCAACGGTCTACAGTAACTACCTTGATCAATTTGTATTGATAGAACTTTGCACCTATGTAAATTATTAGTGGCAATACGGATCAATATAGCTTTCCACAAAAAATGATAAAATAGAAAAATAAAAACTGGTTTTGTAAAAACCTCAGTAGTAGCACGGAGTCTGGAAATGTGCCCGGTATATGGCAATAGGCTCACTCCCTATTACATGGGACTCATAACATAAATAGTGAAAAGTGGGTGTTACATTGTACAGTGGCATTAAGTGCCGTAATGTGCACCTCTGCCTACCCCTTCGGGGATAAAAGGCGTGATGTTATGTTATGTAGAAAAATAAAAACTGCGTTTAAAAAATCGACTTAAAAAACCAAAAACTAATAACAAATAAAAGGTAACAACTAAAAACCCAAAACTAACTATTATTAGTACTGATAGGTTACCCACCCACTGAGCTTATGGCGCCGACTTCAAAAAAGGAGGAGGTTATACGTTCGGCCGGTATGTTGCTTTTTTTTTTTGTATGTATGTACGCGCATAACTCTGAGATGCGTGAAGCGATTTGCAAAATTCTTTTTTTGTTTGAATGGGTGTTTACCCATTGGACCATCTTGGGAGTTTTCCCAAGATGGTCCCATTTCCATGAGGTCAGGATCTGATGATGGGATCCTAGGGAAACCGAGGGGAACTTTCGAAAATTCTATGGGCGAGTAGTGCGTCTATTATGTTTTTCAATTACGATTTTTAAACACTACAATTTGATAAGGGTCTGGAGTCGACCTGATGATGGAGCCGACAGACAGTCGAGGGAACTCCTCAGCGGTTCATATTAACTACCTTGTGTTTGGGCTTGATTAATTTGTATTGATGAGGACTTTACACCTAGATAGAGTGGGGCTGTCATTAAGGGTCTGATGATGAAGAAGTGTAATTGTTAAGGGAACTCCTCAACGGTATATTGTAACTACCTTGTGTTTGGGCTTGTATAATTTGTATTGATTAGAACTTTGCACCTATGTAGATTATAAGTAACAAAACGGGTATATATAACTTAACACTGAAAATGATAAAATAATAAAATAAAAACTGCGTTTAAAAAACCGTCTTCAAAAAACCAAAAACTAATAACAAACAAAAAGTCAAAACTAAAAAGCAAAAATAACTATTACTTATTAGTACTGATAGGTTACCCACCCACTGATAGGTTAGAAGTCGGTGCCATAAGCTCATATCATAATGATATAACTTAATGTCCACAAAATTGTGAATTAGGTACCTATTAAGGTAAGTAAATAATTTTGTATGGAACTTATGGCACCGACTTCTTACCTATCAGTGGGTGGGTAACCTATCAGTACTAATAATAGTTATTTTTGGGAAATTATATGTGCGGCAACAAAAGTTTTCTTTAGCATCTGCAACCTAGCGTCTTTTTTTATATGTGAGCGACGAGTTAATAGAACAGCTTCAATTATATTAATTCATCATCTTTACTATTCCAACAAAATATCAAGAAACCAGCGTCAATTTGCGAGCGTAAATTAATATGACTCCGAGCTACCGATAAATATATTTACTTCTGATTTGATAACTCAGCGACTAATGTTGTAAGTGAGCTATTTTATATATTTTAGAGATTCAACATCTGTCTGCTAATAAAATCAAAATCCAGCCTCAAAATTAGCAATCAAAGTTTTTCATTCAACAACTAAATTAATAAGGGATATTATAAATTGCATATCAAATAAATAATCGCCTATCAATACATACTCATCATTTATATTCTTTTTTACATCAAATAACTTACTTCATTACAAACAAATGAAATGTTCTACAAAACTCAAACTGCAGATAATTCGAAATTATACATCAATACGACAATCCTTTTTTCCTTATAATGCAATACGGTTATATTTGTTTTTGTACAAAAATACTACATACATAGCATAAATACTGACTGCACAGCAATTTTGGGCACCCCGAAACATTTGGTTAGGTTAGGTTAGAACTGCGACCCTCACAAGGCGCGAGGCGAGCGAGCGTAGCGAGCGGTGCCGCGGTAGCGGCCGCCGAGCGTTATATCACTAACTGCTTTTCAAATCTTTTCATACCATTTAGCCGTTTATATTAAAAATATTAGTTTAAATAAAATAAGTGAATTTAAAATGCTGCTTTATTTAGAAAAACTGTTGTAAATAATTTAAAAATAGAAGCTATATTTAAAAGAAAAAGAGTTTACCTATATAATGTGCATTAAGATTATTAGCTGTGCATTAATGAAAGCTTTTGCTTTAGGCAAAATCGTTGTACGCTGCGAAAATAAATTGTAGTGTGTTTAGTAATATTTTGAGTTAAATATTTTGCTGTGCAATCAGTAATTTTGATGGGAATTCGGAATCTTATTGCAAAGAAAAAGGATATTTTTTGATATTCGTTTAAATACTACCCAATTAATAAATCATATTCTTTTTTCGTGAAAGTTTGCAACACAAGCGCGGGAGTGTACTTGACGCTCGTTGGGAATCAGAGCATTATTTGATGACAATATTAAGGAAATTTTATGTTCAAATATAGTAGATTCACTCATCAATTACTTATGCTAAAGTATAAAAATAACGGTGACTCTATGAAATTAGAGTACGTTGATATTATTTTATTGATGAAGTTGATACACTTATTAGAAGCTGGCAATGAGTAGACAATAGACATATCACAAATTTAGTTGCTTAAGAATTATCACCATGTTGCGTCATATTAACAGTAGCTTGTTTTACAATATATGGTCGCTTATAAACCATTTATTAGACGCTAAAAGTTTGTCGCTGACCTATTAATTCATTAGACAACTAAATATATTTGCAGACGAGAATGACATTTTAAAGAAGCTGCCTTAATTAGCACCCGTTATTTTTTGCTTTTTAGTTTTGACTTTTTGTTTGTTATTAGTTTTTAATTTATCAATTGGTGGATAACCTATCAGTACTAATAATAGTTATTTTTTACCTTTTAGTTTTTACTTTTTGTGTTATCAGTTTTTACCCGACTGCCAAAGAAGGAGGGTAATGTTTTTCGAGTGTATGTAAGTATGTATGTATGTCTTTTCCTTTGTGACCACCTGTAGCCTAAACGGCTTGATGGATTTTGATGTATGGGGTATCGTTAGATTTGTCTTGATTACGGGAGTGTCATAGGATACATTTTATCCTAAAAGTCCCACGGGATAAAGACATAATAATATTTTTTCTAAATTTCCCTTTAAAAAAATATGTATGCGGTATCATTAGATTCATTTCAATCACGGGAGTAATTAATATAGGATACGTTTTTTCTCAAAATTCCCACGGGAACATGTTAATTCTGCGTCAACGCAAAGCAACTCATGCGTTAGCAAGCAAAAAGATAGGGCGTGGCCTGGCATGCGGCGCGCGGCGCGGTGCGGAGGGGGATATGCTCGAGTATACAGCCCGATTGCGGGCACACGCATGAGGGCACACGTCGTTGACGGTCGTCTCTAAATAGCGATTTTTTCGATACTTCGTCGTCTGACGCGAAACTTATAAAGTATAAATAACTCGTTCTTTTTTTTTTCTTTCGTGTTTCTCTCTTTAAATTTATTCGTTCTTTCTAATTAATTAACTCGTTCTTCCGTTCTTTTTTTGGTTCTTTCTTAAATTCTTCATATTAATTAATAATATAATAATAATTATTAAAAATAAAACAGCTAAAAAGTTATAAATAAAAAAATTATTATTAAAAAAACAAAATACCCGACTGCACACTAAAAAAAGAGTAAAACAAGCCCCACAATAATATTGATCAATCAAATGCTAAAAACTAATTATGTAATACCGTTTAAACAATACCTATATTAAAATACACTACAATATGTGTTCGTAATCGATAGTTATAATAAACAGAAACTTATTTTGAATACAAATTTACTGAATATAATTTATAAATGTTGATGGAAAGCATCGCAGGCGGGGACCACCTTGACCGCCACCAACGAAAATTCTGCTAAATGGTGCACAACCGAAATGACTATAAATAAGCCTCTGTTGGTCCCCGCCTGCGATGCATTCCATCAACATTTATAAATTATATTCAGTAAATTTGTATTCAAAATAAGTTTCTGTTTATTTAACTATCGATTACGAACACATATTGTAGTGTATTTTAATATAGGTATTGTTTAAACGGTATTACATAATTAGTTTTTAGCATTTGATTGATCAATATTATTGTGGGGCTTGTTTTACTCTTTTTTTAGTGTGCAGTCGGGTATTTTGTTTTTTTAATAATAATTTTTTTGGTTTTTTGAAGTCTGTTTTTTAAACCCCATTTTTATTTTTTTTTACTCAATGAAAACAATCATAACTTTAACTACAAAAATAAAAAGCAATTGTGCACTCAAAATTAGGTACACGATTTGTCTATCTAGCTGTTGAAGCGTTTTTCTCAGCCTCTTGCCTTTTTACTTATTTTTTCCGATAGCTTTTAGAGTACCTATCTTCCTTTTTAAAAGTAATATAAAATCAGTGCAGCTGTATTCTTAAAAATTGAATTTCATTTTAATTATTGAAGATATTGTTTTTACGCTAGTAATTTTCTTTATTTAGTCCATTGTTGTGTAATTAATGAGAATACCTCCTCCACGTTGGCAATATGCGCCGAAATGCAAAAAAATTGTGCGCATATTTCAGCAATTCCGAATATAAATAGACATTTAGCGTTTTAAAAAATTGTACCCAAAATTGATTAGAATTTAAAAGCTTATCTTGTTCAGTTAAGTTTTGGCAAAAAGCCTTTAAATTCACCCACTCGTTAAATTAACCTACACATTAATTTTGTGTCGTCAATGTCTATGTTTTTTGTCTTTCAAATAGAGGACAGTGTCTTCAATAAGAGTCCACTCTGTGTTGTTATTTTTATTCATTTATTTTCTATTTTTTTGTTATTTATTTATTTTTAAAAACCAGGTCTACAAATAAAACCTTCACCGGACGCTCCCCGGATGCCCTCTAAGCTAGGACAAATCCGGGGAAACCCGGACGGACGGCAACCCTAAGTAAGTAGATCCTATTATAGAACAACATCACTAAAACCACCAAGATCAGACTTATGCGGGCGCTGGTATTTCCAATTTTCCTCGACGCGGCAGAATCGTGGACAGTACGTGAATTGCAAAAGGGGAAGATAGATGCTCTAGAGATGTGGTGCTCGAGGAAGATGCTTGGTGTATCGTGGACTGAGTTCCGCACCAATGTATCCATACTCCGAGATCTCGGCATCACAAAGCGTCTATCAACCATAGTACAGACGCGTATACTGCAGTAGGTACTTTGGCCAGGTCTCCCGTCGTGATAACAACTCCATAGACCGGCTGGTCGTTCAGGGGAAAGTAGAGGGAACCAGATCACGAGGCAGATCACCTATGCGCTGGATTGATCAAGTCAAATCGGCGACGGTAAACCCAGTGTCAGACTGCGCCAGACAATCCACAAACAGGGAGAGATGGCGGGAGATCGTGAGGAAAGCTGTATCGGCCTCCAACTCAAATACGGCCGCCTCACCGTGACCACGACCGCTCTGCCAAGAGCGAAACGATAGAGAAAAAAAATTATGGAACAAATAATATAGTACCTATTTCAATGATTTTTTTTTAGATTGATTTCTATTTATTTTGATATTTTTTTTTTTAACGATTCACCTGGAACACCAGAGGCGTTACAAGTGCGTCACCGGCCTTTTGGGGATTAGGAGTTTGAGGATCGTTGGGGATTCAGGGATTGGGGAGATTGGGGAAGGGGAAGGTAATTGGGCCTCAGGTAACCTCACTCACACGACGAAACACAACGCAAGCGTTGCTTCACGTCGGTTTTCTGTGAGGCCGTGGTATCACTCTGGTCGAGCCGGCCCATTCGTGCCGAAGCATGGCTCGCCCACACTTAGTAAAATGACATCTTTATTTTTTGGTTTTACTTTATACATCGAAAGTACTTTTTATGGCAAATAGTTTTGACGCGGGACGGAAACGAAATAAATTTCACGGTGTATACACTGTATCGCTCTCGCACACTACTCAAGCCATCCGAACGGTCGTCCCATAGGTTCGACCATAGGATTCGACTGTTAAAATTTTTACATAGTTTCCGAAAATGGTACATTTTTGCATTCCAGAGTTCAGTTTGACGACAATAGCACTCGGCATTCTAAAAAGGGACAGTCCCGTTCAAAACGTGTCGTCCGGTTACGTTATCTTTGAACCGAGAGCGGAATGCTTGGCGTCGTACGCTCGGGTCTGTTCTAGGTAGGCGGCGAGCTACCCAAGCTCCACGGTAGTTCTTGCAGTAATCCCGAGCCTGGCTATGGCGACTTTATCAGCAGCCCCGGCCAGAATCACATCGGAACTTTGTCGGAGGTAGCATGGCGGATCTTTAATTAATTAAGGTGCGCGTGGAACGCGACGCACTGTAAACTCACTGTCTATTTTTTAAGTAATGGTAGGCGTACACCGTCGGTATTTACCTACTCAAAAAGTTTCACTGTTCATTCCCGATTATTATGAAACCCATCATATTCATAACTAATGATAGCATAATTATACCTGGAAAAAGTCGGTCTATAATCTACCTAATTTCTATGTCCAAAGTGGGAGAAACGTGAAGATGACACGGGTTAATGTGTTGTAATTTACGTACTGACTAGTGGCAGCTACTGCGCAAGTCTCCATCGTTCTGGAATGACTGAATAATTTAAACAAGCCAGTGGCTAGTCTAAGACACTAAACGTAGTCGAGCGGGAATTAGCCACGTTTCCTGCTTGTGAGCGCGCGCGCCTTTGTTCGGCGCTTGTGCGGTCGCGGGAGGCGCAGGTGCGGCGCGAGGTCGCGCCGCGGACGTTACTCACGCCTGAGGTTATCTCCATTAGCTAGGTAGGAGCGAGGCGAGCGCGCTCAGTCAGCATGTGGGTCCTGCGCGCGCTGGCCGCGCTGGCCGCGTCGGTGGCCGCCGCCGCCTCTCTCTTGCCGCTCGATGCCGAGCACCTGCACGCCAGCGTCGGCGGGTTCGCGGTCATGAACTGTCACCTCGACTTCCCTTTCGGCAACGAGATTCCTTACCACTTGCAATGGGACAAAGATGTAAGTACCTACGAGCTACCTACATGTTCCCCTATTACTAGAGCATACTCTCTCTTCTCATGCAAGTACTTGCCTGCCTACACAAATACCTACTTAAGGATATAATTAGGTTGGCTTACTAGCTGGCAACACTGAGACTAATCTAAGAAACGGTACAATATTTCTTACCTAAGACGTCAAAATGTTGAAACAGGTCACAGAAATATTATCTCTCTTTGTTATATATATTCTCTTCTTAATTATATCTATGATCACAGCTACATAAATATCTTAATAGGATAGGCTTGTGGTTTGTAAATACGCTTCATTTCAATGACAAGCTAGTTTCTGCCCGCGACGCGCACGATTTTCGGAAAATCCTTGGCTAAAAAAGTTTTATGTCCGTCTCCTGGTTCTAAGTTACCTTCCACCACTTTTCGGCCAAATCGATTAAGGTGTTTTTGAGTTCTTAATAGTATAATATAATAACTTACCGACCAAAAAAAGGAAGAGGTACTATGTTCGGCTGATTGTTTTTTTTTTGAGAGAGAACTCCTTAACGGTTTATATTAACTATCTTGTGTTTGGGCTTGATTAATTTGTATTGATGAAGACTTTACACCTAGATAGAGTGAAGTGAAGTGATAGGAAGAAGTGTAATTACACTTAACAATTTTTAAGGGAACTCTTCAACTGTTTATGGTAACTACCTTGTGTTTGGGGTTGTACATATAATGTGTAATGATTTGAACTTTGCACCTATGTATGTAGATTATTATAAGTGACAAGACGGATCTATGTAGCTTTACACTGAAAACGATAAAATAAAAACTGCGTTTAAAAACCGACTTCAAAAAACCACAAACTAACTATGATTAGTACTGATAGATTACCCACCCACTGATAGGTTAGAAGTCGGTGCCATAAGCTCATATCACAATGATATAACTTAATGGCCACAAAATTGTAAATTAGGTATTTATTAAGGTTTTAATGAATAATTTTGTATAGAACTTATGGCGCCGACACAAATTTACCAACTCACAAACACTCAAACTCACTCAAAACTCACAAAATTGCGCATTTTTATTATAACAGTTCAAGTTAACTTCGACCATCGGTCCTACAGTGACAGCGTAAGCGAAGCGTAGCGATAAAAACATTTTTTAATTACATTTTTGGGTTCGATGTCCATCTATTAACACTAGGTACTATTATTGTTTATATTTTCACTGTACTACAGATAGATTATACTGGTGACCATTACCTAAGTTATATTTTGTTACGGGTTTGTGGGACCGACTTCTCACCTATCAGTGGGTGGGTAACCTATCAGTACGTATGACAAATAAAAGTAATTTTTTGCTATTTAGTTTCCACTTTTCGTTTGTTTTTGAAGTCGGTTTTTTAAGGGCATTTTTATTTTGATTTTATATTGTTTAGTTTAGTACTAAGATATTTACTGCCTCGTTGACCGAGTGGTCGTAAGTGCGACTGCCGGGCAATGGGTCTCGGGTTCGATTCTCGGGTCGGGCAAAGTATTACTGGGTTTTTAAATATTCTCAGTAGTCGCAAGGAGTCTGGAATTGTGCCCGGTATATGGCAATAGGCTCACCCCCTATTACATGGGACTCATAGTCATAACATTAATAGTGAAAAGTAGGTGTTACATTGTACAGTATCATTAAGTGCCGTAATGTGCACCTCTGCCTACCCCTTCGGGGATAAAAGGCGTGATGTTATATATACCTATATACATCGATATAAACCGCGATAATTAATTAGCATTAGTATCGATATACTAATGTCAAATATGCAATCAGTAAAATTTTTGTATCCTGTCAGTCTGTTGGTTTCAAGAAATAAATAATCCTACACCGGCCTCGTTCCCATAAGGTTTTAGTAAAAAAAACTATTCTATCGACTAGGTATTGTTCTACCGAATGTCACTACCTACTACTAAGACTACGTTCAACAGAAACAAAATGTCATTTGTTGCGAAGTATGGGGCCATTGAGGGAATCGCACTTCAAATAATGTACATTGTTATACTTGAGTTAACATATTAAACATAACGTCACTCATTTTATTCCCTGGAGGGTTACGGAAACACTGAACGTTCGCCAGTTATGTTCATATTTATGTATAACTAGCTTTTACCCGCGGCTTCGCTCGCGTCACAAAAGGATAAAAAGTAGCCTATGTGACATATCGTCAGGGATAGTGCAAATCCGCGAATCTACCATACGTAAAGGCCGCGTATCTGCAATAGATCCACTTTTACAGGGGAAGGTTAAAATTTAATGATTTATTATTTCAATGAATTTAAAGCTCAATTTTACATATTGAAAATATACAAAATGAACTCGTGTCAAGGCGGTGTGGCAGCCAATTGATATTTTGGGGGATTTTTTCGCGAATACTTAAGATAGCTACATTTGTCAGATACACGGAATTGTTCAATGCGAGTTCCGCGGATTTGCACTATCCCCGACGATATACCAATACATACAGAGCCATCTATACCAATACTTTTGTTTTCCCTCATGAATATCAAATTTTCGGGATAAAAAGTACCCTATTATTTAATCCGGACTTCTAACTTTACGTCTGCAAAAATTCAAAGCAATCGGTTTAGTAGTTGCGGCGTGAAAGCGGAACAAACAAACAAACAAACTCACTTTCCGATTTATAATATTAGTAAGGATTATGACAAATCTATTGCAAGACGCCGCATCAGTTACAGACTTTGTTAGTGCTGGGTTAAATCCTTTGAAACACTAGTCCGACCTTCGAAACGCTCCGAATTCAAAATTCTTCAGTTAAATGTTGAATGAAACGTTTAGACTCCCTCGGTCATATATTTATACTGTGCCTCGGTGGTTAGTGGATGTACCTAAGTGTCATTGCAAAGCCGAGATCTTGCGTTCGACTCGCGGACTGTCCAATGTTTATATGTATGTTCCTTATACAAACAAAAATCTACTCGACGGATTTTAACGGAACTTCGTACAATTATTCTTCATACTCCTAGAAAGGTTATAGTACCTATACTTTCCATCACGCTAAACAATAGCAGCAGAGCAGTGAAGGGAAATGTTAGGAAAATGGGAGAAATAACTTCATTTTTTAAGCTTCCCTCGCGTTTGCAGCCTTCATGATTAAAGCTACATAGACATTACTACTACTACATAGAAAATGTTAAAGAACAGCACATGTCTCTCTTTTATGGTTGACTCACAATGACACGTGTAACTCCGGGTACCTTAGCAGTTCGGAGCTTTCTGCTTATATTTGTTTACTCTTACGTTTATAATACTATCACTCATCGATAATTAAAAAAACATAACATAACATCACGCCTTTTTACCCCCGAGGGTGCAGGAGAAGGAACGGGGTGGTTTTTAGTCAGTAAGAGTCTGACATCCCGCCTCACCCAGGCGGGAGCAGTCATTCGATGATTTTCCCCCCCTAAAAAAAAATGGGTAGACAGAGGTGCACATTTCGGCACTTAATGCCACTGTACAATGTAACACCCACTTTTTACTATTTATGTTATGAGTCACATGTAATAGGGGGCGAGCCTATTGCCACATACCGGGCACAATTCCAGACTCTGTGCTACTACTGAGATTTTTAAAAACCCAGTAATACTTTGCCCGACCCGACTTCCAGTTTTTACAGAATTCAGAACTAACTAGTGTGAGCTAAAACCAAAACTTAAAAATAGAACAAAAAATAAAGACAATAATGCAAAAATAACTATTATTAGTACTGATAGGTTGGTACCCACTAATGAGTTAGAAGTCGGTGCCATGAGTTCTATACATTATTTTATTATTTTATCATTTTCAGTGTAAAGCTACATAGATCTACATTTTTTTTAAAGGGGGAAAATCATCGAATGACTGCTCCCGCCTGGGTGAGGCGGAAGGGAGTGTCAGACTCTTACTGACTAAAAACCACCCCGTTGCTTCTCCTGCACGTCGAGCCGGAGCCCCGGTTACCCGTTAGGTTCTCCGCGACTACATAGATCTACATAGGTGCAAAGTTCTAATTAATACAAATCATACAAGCCCAAACACAAGGTAGTTATCATCATCAGACCCGTAATGACAGTCCCACTCCATCTAGGTGAAAAGTCCTCATCAATACAAAGTAATCAAGCCCAAACGCCAGTAGTTACTATATCTAAACGTTGAGGAGTTCTTATTGAAACCTAAGTTAATAATTCCTAATTCTCAGTTCAATATTTCATTACTTTATGATGTCACGTTCCTCAGATAGAAATTAACCCGGATTTATGAATATTAAGGATTAGGTAAAGATTCGTTATTTTTTATAATAAGTATAGGTAATCTCAAAAGTCAAAATCTTTAATATCAATCAGACCAAGAAGGCCCCTTTGAACGTCTAAACAAAATATTTAAATACTAGCTTTTACCCGCAGCTTCGCTCGCGTCACAAAAGGATAAAAAGTAGCCTATGTGACATATACCAATACACACAGCGCCATCTATACCAATACTTTTGTTTTTCCTCGGGAATATCTATTTTTCCGGGTTAAAAAGTACCCTATTATTTAATCCGGACTTCTAACTTTACGTCTGCAAAAATTCAAAGCAATCGGTTGAATAGTTACGGCGTGAAGGTGGAACAAACAAACAAACAAACTCACTTTCAGATTTACAATATTAGTCAGGATTAAAGAAAACATGCCAGTCTGTCGGTTAGTCCTTCAGTGAAGCTATTTGCTCGTTCCAAGGTGTAGATTCCTATGGAGAAGAACGAGCAAGAAACTACATAGGTTAGGTACTCTTTTTCAATCAGGTTCACAATACAATTCTTGGTTACATTGTTTCGTTGGTACAATAGGGTAGATGACTAATTTTTATTTTAATGTCCGTCTGGTAGATTGTTTTAAAACATTAAGTTTGAAAGTTCAACCATTAACAGTTGGACCCGCACCAACCGTGCCCTCAATACATACTGATACTGATACTACTGATAGGTTCTAACTATTATTACTACATGTATATCCTCCATCATCATCCATTTTATACCCTAAAGGGGATTTGGAATTGAATTTATCAAAATCCTTTCTTAGGGGATGCCTACGTCATAGTAGCTTTTTAGTTTTTACTTTCGTTTGTTTTTAATTTTTAAAGTCGGGTTTTTTAAATCAGTTTTTTATCTTGAAAGCACTTTGTCTAAGTTCTGATAATAAATCGCCATTTGGGTAACTCTATTTCCGACCCTTTGTGTCAGAGTGTTGGTGTTCAGGTTTTGCTTAGAGATCAGCTTATAAAGAGCGCAACACGACAGAGGCACAGCATGTTTCACGTCAACGCTTGGAGCGCGGGTGCGGCACATTGTGCTGCTCGGCTTATAATCACTGCCGTTTGTCACGGAATATAATCGAGTTGAGAACCCGCGCGGCGCACCCGACTCAACATGGCGCGCACAATAGCCGCTAGCCCTGCCTGCAGTCTGCCAGCCTGCAGCCTGTCAGCGTGCCAGCCCGTGTGCTACGTGAGCAAGTTGCTTGTTTCTTACAAGCCCTGTAGAAGAAGCATAGAAACAAGCGTTGCGTATCGCTGGGCCTTGTAAACTCTGATACTTTTTGACCTTACCTATATGGCTCTAATAAATCCTAACGGAGTGCCGTACAATACAAACAGAACGTGAAATGCAATAATTATATGTGTCCAAGTAGGTACCTATTAGACCAGGGTCAAAGCCTACAAAAATAGTAAGAAATGAAAAAAAATTACAGTAGGATGAAACCCATTAGAAAAGGAGGGGAATATGATCAAAATGAAAGGAAAAATAAATTACGGTCGATCCGAGTTCGGGAAGTGGGAGGGAGTGAGTTTTTAAGGGTAAAAAATGGTTTATCTTGATTTCCGGCAAAACTACAAGTCCTATGGAAAAAAATTATATAGCAAAGTTGTAGGCAATTAAAAGATCTACAACTTTTGTATTTTCAGATTTATCACATAACCTCAAAATTTAGGTGAAAAATTCAAAAAACCAAGTTTTTGGTTTTTTATTTATATCTTTATCAAAAAAAAAAAAAAATTTTTCCTACGAAATTTAGTGAAAAAGTGATATATCTATATTTGATAAGTGATAGTATAAGTATTTAACAATGATGCGTCGCGACGTGTATTTTGCGATATGTTCACATGAATTTACACGTCACGTCAACATACCGTGCCACGTTGTCGCGGAGAACCTAACGGGTAACCGGGGCTCCGGCTCGACGTGCAGGAGAAGGAACGGGGTGGTTTTTAGTCAGTAAGAGTCTGACACACTCCCTTCCGCCTCACCCAGGAGGGAGCAGTCATTCGATGATTTTCCCCCCTTAAACTGTCAAACACCAAGCGGTCACCGGTGACCGCGACCTATTGTTCTTTAATTGTGTCTATAAAACCGGTACTCGACGAGTTAAAAAAAAAAAAAAAAAAAAAAACCGTGCCACGTTACGTCAACATACCGTGCCACGTCACGTCAACATAGAAGACGGCTGAAGGTTGTTTCGATGCGAAAATACTAGCAATCGGTTTCCATAATTCTGCTTTGCGAGGCACAAAGTTTGATGAAAACTTTACAGCTGTGTGCACAGAAATATTTTATTATATCTGTGGTTGTGTGCTTTTAAATAATGTAAGCTAAGGATGATATTACTGTCACGTGGTACGAAGGCAAAAATTAAATAAAATATAAGGAATAAAGAAATTAAATAATTCCTCGGAGCACTCCTCAACTCCTCAAAACGCAAAGGCGGCAGTACTAGTAGCCGCACGAATACAGTACCTACCTACTAAATACTGCTGGGGGATTAATCGACTTGGTAGTCCGTAGGCGAAGCAAGCATTTATAGACACGTAAGCTTTAAACATTTAAATTCCCTTTGATAGGCTTGATGGGAGACCAAGAGCACGAGTTACTGAAAGAAGGCATCAAGACTCTCGAACTCTATTAGATTGATGTGCTGCGACTTCGTCATCGCAATGATTATTTAAAGGACCTACAGGCAGAGTTATATTACTTGTAATGAGCTCATCCCATGTCGTCGTCACCGCATCAGCACAACTTGGTCAGTTCCCGAGAGAAGAATTTTTGAAAACAAATCAAACCAAGGGCACAATTTGGCACTGATAATGGACATCAGAGAGGATGGAATGATCAGCTTCAACCCATGCAGCGGTATTGGGCTTATCTTGCCAGAATCAAAGCTCAAGAGATCGGATCAGTGAGAGGGTGTTGTCACTGCGAGGACCACCCAGAGGACACAGTGGAGCATAAGATGGCATTGTGCCCTGCATGGGGTGAGCAACGCCGTGTCCTGAGGAAAGCCATTGGCGACGGTGACCTATAATGATTCTGGTTTTTCATCTAGTTGATTTATCGGGACATTTGGCGTCCCGATCAGGGTCAAATCAGGACGCGTTCCCAGACACCTGCAACATTAGTACTGGGTGAGGTGATTGCGAGGGAGGGAGTGTGTCAGACTGTTTTACCTACAAACCGCCCCGTCCATGCGGTCCACGCCTGATCACATACTGATCACTACTCTATAGGACGAGTCTCGGCACGGCAACATGGCTTCATCCTCCGACTACATGGCTTATATTTACTTTATTGTACTTATTTATTCATCCTCGCGCATTCGTCATCTTACGGCGGGTACTTCATCGTTACGGTTAACTAGCTTAATGAAGCTACCTATCTACTCGGCCGCGTTGGTAATTGAGGTCTATTCGTCCATGCCACGGAATAACAAATAGTACAATGCACATTGTTTATTGCTTAGCCACGCTCGGTAGGCAGCGGCTGCCGCGCGCCGGTATCGCATAGATGCACTGCGCTCGCACGGGAATATTTGTATTAGGGACGCAACCTCACCCTTCTTCGCGAAGGAGTCCGTGGGACGCGCGGCGCACTCAGCTGACGCCTTGTGCCCGCACGCTGGACGTGCTAAATGCGCGTGGGAGTGTAATTGTGTAGGTACTTACATGACGACGACAGCCACTCGACCCGCGCCCCGCGCCCCGCGCCCCGCGCTCGTGACCCTGCCTGCCGTGTTTATATAGGTCCGCGGGACGAGGGCGAGGCGCGTGGCCAATGTGGCGCTCTCTAACATTTCGTCGTGCTCTCGATTGATGTCAGCGCAGTGCACATCTATACTAATATTATAAAGAGGAAAGATTTGTATTTTTGTATTTTTGTATGTTTGTAATGAATAAACTCAAAAACTACTGAACCGATTGCAATAATTTTTTCACCATTCGAAAGCTGCATTATTCAGAAGTAACATAGGCTATATAATATCACGCTAGGTCCTATAGTTGTGGAGCAGTAACCAAAAATGTTTTAAAAACGGGGGAAAAGTATCGTTTCTGAGGCCTTCCGTGGCGTGCGCTGAGCATATAGTTAAAGTTATACAAAAATGTTCTATAGATGAATTGTTTATCTTAACATTATTTTTTAAAAAGTCCGCGAGAGCATATGTCTAGCTTTTATAGTTTACCCATAACAATAGTTTTAATGAATGGTTCAATCCTTATAAAAGTTTGCTCTAGATAACTTTTGAATTGTTCAATCGGTTACCTTAAGACGCGACATCGACAACGGAGGGCAGGTCGCTAAAAAAAAACTGAGAATAAATATAAATAAAACGTAAAACTATGTAAAAAATCTTAAGTCCCCCCGTGCGAAGCCGGGACGGGCAGCTAGTGTTGTCATATATGTGTAAGACTAAATCTTATGATTTAGAATTAAATAAAACCAATGTGTTGCTTCTTAAAATCAAGAAACGGCATTTAATGTTTATTCTTCCACATACATATATTATAAAACATAAAATTCTTATAATACTGATGTCTAAACAAATCACAGCCTATTGATTCCCCTATATTTATTATACTCTTTGCAATTTGACAATTTAAAGTACTTAATCAATTCAAAATTTAAAAAAAATCTATTTTCTTTACATATTATGTACCTACCTACCTCGTTGGCCGACTGGTCGCAAGTGCGACTGCCGGGCAAGGGGTCTCGGGTTCGATTCCCGGGTCGGGAAAAGTACGGATTTTGGAATTGTGCCCGGTATATGGCAATAGGCTCACCCCCTATTACATAGGATTTGTAACATAAATAGTGAAAAGTGGGTGTTACATTGTACAGTGGCATAATGTGCACCTCTGCCTACCCCTTCGGGAATAAAAGGCGTGATGTTATGTTATGTACCTACCTATACATTCTTATATCGAGAGCCAAATCACATTCAATGGCACATTCACATTGACACCACATCGTCTGGATTGCGATACACACTGTGCATTAAGAAGTACTCAGTTCATTCTGCCCGGAGTTTGGTTCATTTTTCACGTCGGGCACCCTGTATATTAGTACGTATAGATTTGATTTTGTTGTTCCCTTTATTGTAGTAACAGTGTAGTGGTGGCATGTCACGCAGGGCGAGAGCATATTCTCGTGGTACAGCGGCGAGGGCGCGGCGCGCGTGGCGGACCGCTGGGGCGGGCGCGTGCGGCGCGTGGACGGGCCGGCGCTGGGCCGCGGCTCCATCAACGTCAGCGCCGTGCGCGAGACCGACGCCGGCCTCTACCGCTGCCGCGTCACCTTCCCCAACCGCACGCCGCCCGCGCGCAACAACGGCACCTTCTACTACCTCCAAGTCGACGGTCGGTGCTACACACACTTTCTTTCGCCATTTCCTTCTCGGACTGCTCCGATAGAAATCGCTCGCCTCATATAGATTAACTAAATAAGTAAATACCTAAGTACATTATTTCACAAAATAAAATAAATTATTTCTAAATTTTTTGTAATGCTATAAAAGCAAAGGACAAAAATGTTTTAAAATATTTATATCAGTAATAGTCGCTTCAGCGGAATGTGCAGCCGCATTAAGTACCACGTAATATTTATACGTAACCTATTTACAGATTCCGTGCTACTATACCACAATAAACATTTTGTAATCGACACGGAGTTGCCCTGCTTGGCAAGAGTCGTGCTTGCAATCACACGACTATACATGTAGACGTAAGAAGAGTGAATCTGTTTATTTTCAGGAGGTAATCTGATAGTGACGCCGCCCATGAACGTGACGGTGCTGGAGGGCGAGCGCGCCGAGCTCGAGTGCTTGCCCAAGAGCCCGGAGTCGGCAGTGGAATGGTACAAGGACGGGACGCCGCTGGGCGAACTGCCCGAGCTGGCGCTGCGCTCGGAGCGGCCCGCCAACGGGTCGCTCGTGCTGCGGCGCGCCGCGTCCACGGACCCCGGCGAGTACGAGTGCCGCGTGCACGACCCCGCCTACCCCGAGCTGCAGAGCGCCAGCGCGTTCCTCGACGTGCAGTGTGAGTGCACTGCCCACGCGCCCCAACGGGTTCCTATTGTTTGCCAGTTTTAATCATTTTCAAACTCTGAATTTCATTTGGCCTAACACGATATTGCGTATTATATTTATTATACTAGCTCCTTCTGCGCGGTTTTACCCCTCTGCTCGGCCCCTATTGATCGTAGCGTGATGTTTGATAGCCCATAGCCCTCCTCGATAAATGGACTATCTAACACAAAAATAATTTATCAAATCGGACATGAATCATCAAAATGTTGTCTTTTTATGACATGACAAATGTCACATATATTATGATTCAGATAAGAAACATACAATGTTCTAGTCCCCCTGATTCGTGCGGTCCATGGCCCTCTACGGTGCCCCTGTTTGGGCGCCGAACCTGCTGCGGCGGCCCGCTCGGGCGCTGCTTATGGCACAGAGGGTCATGGCGATCCGAATGATCCGCGGATACCGCACGATCTCTGGGGAGTCGGCGAACCTCCTTGCCGGATTACCGCCGTGGGATCTGGAGGCGAAGGTGCTCGCGCGCGTGTATCGCATGCGCGCGGAGGCACGTCGCCGGGACGAAACTCCGCTGCCGCGCCAGATAAGTGCGTGGCGGGATGAGCTCCGGCGCAATCTCATGGCGGAATGGCAGCAACGAATGTCGCAACCGAGGGCTTGGCTCGCTGCCATCGCAGCGGTAAGTCCCCTCTTTGAGGAGTGGCTTGGGAGACGCTACGGCGTCCTCACCTACCGCCTGACGCAGGTCCTCACCGGACATGGAAGTTTCGGGAGGTATCTGTGTCTGATGGGGCGGGAGGAAACGCCCTGGTGTCATCACTGCGAGGACCGCCCTGAGGACAAGGTGGAACACACTGTAGCGGAAGGCCCTGCGTGGGCTGAGCACCGCCGTGCCCTCAGGGAAGTGATCGGCGATGGCGACCTCTCGCGTCCGGGCCTAGTGCGGGCCATGATGCGGAGCGAGGGGGACTGGGATGCCGTCTCCTCCTTTTGCGAAGCAGTCATGCTAGCTAAGGAGGAGGCGGGACGCGTGAGGCAGCGAAGCGCTGCCTCCTCGCAACCCAGCCATCGCGAAGGACACACCGGGCGTCGGGGATCGCGGGACGATCTCCGGCCACACCGTAAGCGCCTGCGGACGGCGAGCGTGGGTGGCTCACCGTCCGACCAGAAACAAACGTTCCGCGCGCGCCTCAAAGAGCCATCAGACCACCACAGATGGGGCCCAATAGGGCCGATGCCGATTCGGAGTCGCGGAGAACCTAACGGGTAACCGGGGCTCCGGCTCGACGTGCAGGAGAAGGAACGGGGTGGTTTTTAGTCAGTAAGAGTCTGACACTCCAGAATCGATGATTTTCCACCCTTAAAAAAAAAGTGCTAGTCAGGCCTGTGCACGAAGGGTTCCGGACTATTCGTTCATTAATTCATTCGAGTAATAAACGGCATTAAAATTAACTTACACGTATGTACTTATTGGAAAAACAAATTAAAATTGTTTGATTTGTTATAGCATAGCGGCAATAGACTAAGGCTTGTCATTCACGAGGATACCCTTATGCATGACAAGCCTTAGTCTTAGGGTGTGGGTTCGAAACCTGGCAAGTACCACTGTACACTCACAAACGGTGAAGGAAAATAGTATTAACAAAGTTGTTTATATTGTACGGCTGTGCAGCTCAGACAAATTAGAGTGGTGAATCTGAACCATGTACAATTTACATATTTAAACGCACTCGTCACTACATTAAACAATGACATGTAAAGGCAACAACACCATACAGATCACAGATATCATCGTGTACAGCTAAGTTTCTAACACTAGGTACATGACATGCCTAACCTAGCGCCGTGTATTTATTTACTCTTGCATTGGTGCCGCGACTACTCATGGGTTTATCGAATGCCTTTGCTGGACTAACGCTAGTGAAGGCGCAAATATATTTGACTATACGTGTCATTTCGTTTACATGCAACTCGCGCATGTGAACGGTCGAAATAAAATGTATGTTAAACGCATTTAGTTATAAGCGTTTAATGCTTGACATGACATCTTGCTCTGACACTCCCTTCCGCCTCACCCAGGCGGGAGCACTCATTCGATGATTTTCCCCCCTTAAAAAAAAGCCCCCCTGATAGTGAGTAGTTCCTGAGATAAGCGCGTTCAAACAAATAAACCAACCAAGTCCTCAGCATTATGTAATAGTAAGTATAAGTTAATAAGTAAACGTCTCTAATTAAGAGAAGTTAAGTGAATAAGTAAAAGTAGTATAAGTAGTGTAAGACTATGTATCAGGTACACATAAACAATATTGCGCATAGTTTCGGTTGGCCAGCTTCGCAGAATGATTGTTTCGGGAACTGATCACTAAAATTCTTCATGATTTTGTCTTGTTCAAGGAGATCGGCAATTCTTAGTTTCGATGATCAAAAATTGAATAGTCTGGGTTGTCAAGACTTAATATTATTAGTATTTAGTCCTGTGTTAGTTTTTGCATTTACCTCGGAATATGGCAATTATTGAAGTCAGTAGGCAGTCAACAAATCCCCTTTACATTCGTTCCCGCCCTTACAACACAATACGAGTGTAACACAACACAGTACGCTTTGTTGCATCACACTTGTTGTGGACCTCACGGTTGGCGCGGTGGCTGGGCGACCGGCTGCCGCGCAACGTATAGCGGATTCTATTTCCGCACCGTGCAACTTTTTGTGTGATCCACAATAGTTTGTGAACTTGTATGTTTGTAAACGTACCCACGACACAGGAGAAAATCCTAGTGTGGGGCAACGAATCTTTTTAAAAGAGATCAGGAATTTTAAAGCCCCGGTGACCCTTGCGGTTCTTATATTCTTGATTGCGCTATTTCCGATTGTGTTTCAGACAAAGCCAAAGTCGTCTACGCACCGAAAGAACGCTTTCTTCCATACGGCAAGCCCGCCAGCTTGGACTGCCACTTCAGCGCCAACCCGCCGCTCACCAACCTGCGCTGGGAGAAGGACGGCTTCTTGTTCGATCCCTACAATGTGCCCGGAGTGTTCTACAGCAGGAACGGAAGTCTACTGTTTAATCAGGTACGATCGTACGATGCGTTACGTACGAGTACAACGTTCTTAGCTTTGGTTGATAGGGAAATGACCTTTAGACATAGAAATCACATAGTTTTTACTCCGAATATTACCTCTACATATCTTAAACGAGTGACTGAACGCTTGTCAAAAGAAATTGCGCCAAAGCAAACCGGTTTTGTAAAATTTTCATCGGTCGTAAAACTATCGAAAAAGCTCGAGAATTCAATAAGCCAAGTTTGGTACACCGCATGCACGGGCCTGTGGTGGCCCAGGAGTAGGAAGGGGGCGGTTTTTAGTCAGCAAGAGTCTGACATTCCCTCTCACGTCATCCGGGCGGGAGAACTCATTGGATGATTACTCCCCCCCCCCAAAGAGAAGAAGAAGAAGTTATACCACTTCAAAGATTCATTATCTATTTTCATACATTTATTGTTTTCTAAAGGTGCTAGCAAACACAGGATAGTCATCGATATTGAGATATCGATAGAGTGCCCCGACATGGTTCCCGCTTACGAACATTATTTTCAGTACCCTCTTATCGAACAATATACACAAGTAACAACTTTTTCAAACGCAGTGTTAACACTTATAACGAAGAATTAAATGAATTAGACATATTTAATACCAGTACCAATGTGTATAAATCTAAAATTAAGCAGAAATATACTCAGAGCTAGGAAGGGAATAATATCACGGTCACTTTATAAGAATGTAATTTCGTTTATCATTTTAAAAACTTTATCTCTGTAATTCTTTTCTTTTTTTTAATGTTTTTTTTTAATGTATACTACTGATTTGACACCTTTAAAAACAGTGCCTTTTCGTATATTATTGTTTTATGGAACTCTAGGTCTGTATGTATCACATTGTATTTTAATAATTTTATTTGTAAGAGACTGTCTGTTTCCTGAATAAAGAAAAAATAAAAATATTGCTAGAATATAGAGTCTGAGGCAATTGTGATGATGATGCGAAAAGATTTCGCAGTCGTTGTTTTTTTAGAATATCTTTAACTGATTCCTCTATTTATGTTATGAGTCCCATGTAACAGGGGGTGGGCCTATTGCCATATACCGGGCACAATTCCAGACTCCGTGCTACTACTGAGATTAGAAGACTCTCTTACTTAGAATGATTTCACTAAACAGTGTTTAGTGTAATCTTTCTTCTCAGGCTGAGCTGAGGAACGTGTTTTATAGGTGGATGAGTCCCACGAAGGCGAGTACTCGTGTACGCCGTACAACTCGCTGGGGTCGGCAGGCCCATCTACGGGCGTGCGCGTGCGCGTGCAGCGGCCGCCCGCGCTGGCAGCGCGGCCGCAGCCGCTGTACGTGGCGCGGCTGGGAGCCACGCTCACGCTGCCCTGCGCCGCCGCCGCGCGCCACCGCGACCAGCCGCTCGTGCACTGGGCCCGGGTGAGCGGTCCGAGTGCCCGCTGTACATGCACTGTGTGCTCTACCAGTGCGGTGCATAACGCTACGCTTATCGCTTCTTGCAGAAGGACGGTAGCGAGCTGCCCGCGGGCCGGCATAACCTGGACGACGGGAACCTGACCATTGTAGACGTGACGGAGGACGACCGCGGCGTGTATGTGTGCACTGTCAGCAACGAGGCCGCCACCGTCGACGTCGAAACAGAGCTACTGGTCGAGAACATGCCTCCGCGAGCTCCCTACAACCTCACCGTCAGGCCATCTACTGATTCTATTCATCTGTCCTGGGTGCCTGGTGAATATACTCAGAACTAGCTTTGAGACCAAATGGTCAAATGAATTTAGTTTCTATTGCAAATTAGACAAAAAATGATCACGTAGGTATATCGGTGCATAAATCTTGATTTCGAAGTAATCGGTGTATTACATTATACATATTAGAGGAAGGATCTTCCAGTGCCCCCAGACATCACTCTTTTTCTGATGGACAAAATATATACGAGTGAGTAGTGGTGGGGTGTACTATGATCATATGACTAGTTGCTACCTTGGCCAGACGGCCAATTTTCAGGTAGCAATTAATCAAGGTACATAAAAACACTGCTCACCTCACTTAAATTCTGATAGCTGATTTTAACATGTGACAACAATCGGAAACTTTTGGTTAAAACGTTTTAGAATAGTTGTCTGAATAACATATATAAAAATCAAGCATCAGAAAATAAGTGACCTAAATAAATTTTTTTCAGAGCTTTGAAGCGTATGTAAGGTAAAACCGCCGACCGCATGTGTCTGGGAGTAATGAATACTGATTTTTAACGATATTGTGTAAAATATATGTTTAAATCAGCTATCAGAATCTAAGTGAGGTGAGCAGTGTTTTTATGCATTGATCCCGTTTTATCGTAAAAAAACTCGAATTAAGAACACACACACACATATTTCTAAGCGTAGGCGATTGATTCACCCCATGTTTGATAACAAATTTAATTTATAAGACTTGACGATGGAGGTTTGACTGTTTACAGGACATAACGGACTCGAGGTGGACTATAATGTTTGGTATCGTGAACGAACTGTGAGCGAATGGCGCACTATGAAGATTTTGACGAGAGGCGTTACCGAGGCCACGCTAGTAGGACTGAGGCCAGGCACGGAGTACGAGCTCCGTGTGCTGTCTCAAGATCTCATTGGCGATGGTCTTTTTAGTAAACCAGTGTTTGCGAGAACAGTCGGTGGGGTACCTTATACATTAATTTAAAAAGCCCAGAAGGAATCCGTTTGTGGCAACAATAACGTTTATGTTGCTGTGTGTAGGATCTTCGGATGAGGAAGGAATAGAAGCTGAGCAGGTCGCGTATGCTGCCGCCACCACCGAAGAGACGGAGCCGGGCGCGTCCAGCGAGGGCGTCGACGGAGGCGACCTGGACGTCACCGTGCGGCTCATCGACGAGGGTGCGTTGGTGCGCTGGCGCCGCGACCCGACGGACGGGACGCGCTGCACCCTGCGCTGGTACGAGGGCGCGCCGCCCGGCGAGCGCCTGCTGGCCACCGGCCACACGCTGCACGACTACATGCTCGGTACGCCGCGCCCCTGTCCGCTCCTCTCGACCTTATCACTCGCACTCACCGCAAGCTTGTCCGCAGTGAGCGGTGCTGAGGAGGGCGCGCGCTACTGGGCGCGAGTGCAGTGTGCGAGCGGCGCCAGTGGGGGCGCAGCGCTGCGCGTGCCCGAGTACGCGCGGCTGCGCGGAGTGGCGGCGGGCTGCGCGGCGGCGGCGCTGTTGCTGGCGGCGTTGGCGGCGGCGTTGCTGGCGGCGCGGCGCAGGCTGTGCGCCCGCCCGCCTCCGCCGGCGCGCGCGGACAAGCGGCTGCGCTGACTACGACCTTGCATAGCGCCGTTGTTAGTGCGATACGTGCATCACGTGACATTCCGTACCGTGTTTGGGTGTTTGCTAGAAGTTGATGTTATTATTTATTAAAGCATGCGTGAAATGAGTGAAAACTTATATTTAATGTTTTTAGAATTAAGATTGAATTGAGCAATGAATAAATGAAGAAAACAGTTTTTTTTATTATAACTATCCCCGTTTTACTCTTACACAGTTACATCAATTAATATAAACTACTAAATCTTAAAAAGGAATTTCATGGAAAGGTAGGCCACAATAAAACCTTGAAAGAAATACCTTCAGCAGCGACATACGTATGTAATAATTAGTAAAGTACTGTCGGTCGTTATCGAGGACGCTCCATGGTTTTCGAAGATACTCGTAAAACATCGCGGGTGCTCATCAGATGTTACATAAGTCATCAAGACTGTCAAAGGTTCGTTAAGGTTAGTTTTTCTGCGAAAACCGCAGACGACGCTGGCTGTCAGAGTCGTCCACGGGTATGGTACGATATCCTTCGAGGCGGCTTAGGTCCTGGCCGCATCCCCGTCTAGGTTAGGTTAGGTTTTTTTTTTATTATACAGCAGGAGGGGAAATCCTCATGGAGACTCACACCTCCCCACGAATAGGGAGGTGTGAGTACTGCCGGACTCTTACCGGCTAAAACCCCTCCTGCTGTGCCATAGTGCTCCCCTAACATGATCAGGGACCTGAATTTGACATAGTAAATTTACCACTACTTTTTGGAACCATTTATATATATATATATATATATATATATATATTTACATCCAGATTCCAGGATGTAAATATATATATATATATAGATTAATAAATATTATTTGTAAATAATTTATAACGTATGTATATAATATGAGATAAATATAAATAACATACGATAGTTGACGCTAATGTCATAATATTCTCTTAATATAAGTACCTAGCGCCACTTTCTGCCCTTTACTTGATATGCTACATTATAGGTTTGGCGCTTTCCATTGTCATCGTGCCTTATTCACGCAAACGCTCCACCATGTGTAACGTGTCTTTTAGAGACGTTAGCAAAGGACATCGTCTGAGTTCCCTGTTTTTGGTCCCTGGTCACGTCTTGCAGTGGCATCATGATTTGTTGTACAGGCGATCGGCGGCGGCGATAGTTTGGTCACGCAGCACCAAGTGCGTGTTGCAGTACAGTCAGTGGCGTCATTCTTCGACAAGTCCAGTTTTTGGTGTTCGAACCACCACGGCAAGGTAATAGGCCCATCCTTAAATTTGCACCCCTTCTGATGAAGTTGGACAAAATTAATTCACTTCAGCTTCATGCCGCAGTCGTTCGGACCACAATTTAATATGGCTGGTACATTGGTCATCACCTGGCTGCGACTTCTTCGTGTGCTGGTGCTCCCAACAATTGCGACCTCGCCGCCGTCGTGATTCCACGAGTTTACACTGCGTTCCCCGAATGGGAAGTTATCCATCGGTGTGTCGGTGCCTGTTTTAGAGTCTGCCTGTGGGACGCCAAATTTCACCTTAGCAGTAGCTAACGGCCGATCGGGCCAAGGCGTCCCACTTCCTACGGACAGGACAGTCTTGGGCAGAATGCCTTGTGTCGGGTTGCCCATCCCTTCTGCAGTTGATGCAAGAAGGTTTCTCCCCCTTTGCGGACCTAGGGCAATTCGCTTGAAGGTGGGGCCCCCCGCAGTGGTTGAATAGGTCCACCTTTTCTGTGGAATTCTTTCGCCCACGTCCGAAGGCCAGACACCGACTGCACTGGACCAGCGGAGACTGGTCGAACACCTTGACGTGCTGCAGGTCGACGTAGATTCTTCCAGCCGAGGTCAGCCTCTCCCACATCCGAGGTGAGATCTGGAGGACGACGTGGTTCTCGAGAGAGTTCCGCGCCTTCCTCCGGTACTTGATGGTCCGCGACATCTCCTCTTTCCCATCCCACCACCATCGCGTCCACGCTAATGGCACGGGCTGCGATTGGTGTATGTTCTCCTATTTCCCTGATCTTCTGGAGCAGCAAGTTTGCCTGCGCAAATGGAGACTCCTCTCCCCACTCGAGCAGTGCGATGGTCTTTCCTTTGAATCGCACCAAGCGGCATCGGTGAGTGTCTAATACCACCTGGGGCAGGGCGGCGTACTTACTGCCCTTCATCCTTGCTTTGGTGGTGCTCCCGTTGATCAGGGCGGCAAGGCCCGGCGAATGCCTGGTGTACCGCGTCCGGCACCCGCCAGGAACTGCGTGATGGGCATGGCGTTTGGGCCCGACACTGGGCTGGTCAGTAGTTGTTGCTCTGCGTTCGGGTGTGTGGGTTGTGTTGCTGTGTTTTGTGTTGGTGCTGTGTTCTGTGGCGGTGTTTGTATGTTTGTTGCTGTTGTCGGTGACGGTGTGGTGTTTATTTGTGTAGTGGGCACAGATGACAACCTGGTTTGTGTAGTCGGAGTTTTGTTTGCTTTGACTGCGACTGCGGCAACCTTGCTCGCGAACGACAAGAATGGTTTCCTAGTCTTTGGACTCTCCATCACGGTGTGGAGTGTAGACTGGCTTAGCTGAGCTTCGATCTTTTGTTCCAGCTCCATTCTGTCTTGGCAGAATCTTGGGCATTCAAGCAGCAGGTGCCATACAGTTTCATCGCAGCCAGGGTCGCATACACACGAGGGGCTGTCTTTAAGATGGAAGCGGTGGAGATACGCCGAGAATCCTCCGTGTCCTGTGAGGACTTGTATATGGAGCGGTGTCAGGTTTTCGTCTCTGAGTGTCCTCCTTGCCGCTAAGACGTTCGGGAAGAACACTTTTGTGACCGCTCCTGTACTGGAGGTTTCGTACCGCGCTTGCCACCTCTTGATGGTCTCCTCCCGTATCTTCTTTCTAACGAACGATACTGGGACCTTGTTGTAGTCTGCTGCTTTGGTTTTGAGAGCTGCCTCCTTTGCCAGCTCGTCTGCTCTCTCATTCCCCGCAGTTCCCACGTGAGCCCTTAGCCAAAACAGCCTCACCTCCCTGCCCACCTCTCGGATCTCCCGCACGTATTTTTTCATTTGCAGCGCCAGATGGTGAGTGACAGAAGGACTCCTCAGCAGATCCAGTGACGACCTTGAGTCACTTAGGATGCTTATGGAGGCCGCCCTAGACTCTCTTGCCATCATTACGGCTCTGAAGAGGGCGTACATTTCCGATTGGAAGACAGTGTTGTGAGGCTCCAGGCCAAAGGTGCAGTATTTTGACTCTTTCCCGTTTTCCCACCATGTTAGGGCAGCTCCTACTTTTCCCTCTATTTTGCTGCCATCGGTGTATATTTGGTGGCCGATTATGTTGTGGGCCTCCTGGGTTTCGGGAGTTAGGTCCTCTAGACGTGTATACTCGGTCATTGTGAGCAACGCCGGGTGAGGGTTTTTGGAGTGGTGCACGCTGCGTTCCAACTCGCGATCCAGCGGTATGAACTGCTGGAAATGACCCTTCCTGATCTTGAAAAGGGTTGCGCCCTCGATTACTCGGAGATCAAGGGGTAGTTGGCCAGACAGAATGAGTGCCGATGTCAGAGACACCGTGCGGTATGCTTTGCAGATTTTCTGCGCGAAGCCTCTCTGCAGTGAGTCGAACTGATTTCTTGTCATCAGTTTCTCCGCCGCAGGCTCCCACGCACTCGCCGCATATGTCACGATTGGCTCTATCACCGACACGTATATCGTCCTCACAATCTCTCGGTTGAGACCCCATGTCACCTTTGCCGCGCACGCTAGTTGCTTGTAAACGTCTGTAGCTTTCTTACAGATCGCAGACACGTGCGCGTTGAATGTGAGTTTGGCGTCTATTGTGAGGAAAAACAGCTTCACCTCCTGTACTAGGTCCAGCCGCACGCCAGACATGTGGAGTACGGGGTCGTCGTACTTGAGCTTCCTTGTTAACACCATCGCATTGGTCTTATGCGCGGCGAAGCGTAATTTGTTTTGGAAGCCCCATTTTGACACCGTGTCTAGTGCGCTGTTCGCCGATTGCTGCAGAGGACCGGCCGAGAAGTCTGAGAATACGAGGACGACGTCATCCGCAAAGGCTTGACAATAAATCCCTATTGCCATTTTGTGTAAGAGTGGGTCCAGGATAAGGTTCCAAAATGTCGGTCCAGTATATATATACATTCTCTCATGTATATACCTTCTCAATTGTTGCTCTGGCATAGTTGACCCTGACGTTCCGGTCTTCCAAGTATGAGGCGACGAGGGCGTATAGGTTTCTGGGGCATCTTTGGCTTTTTTTTTTATATTTTTTTTTTTATACAGCAGGAGGGGAAATCCTCATGGAGACTCACACCTCCCCACGAATAGGGAGGTGTGAGTACTGCCGGACTCTTACCGGCTAAAACCCCTCCTGCTGTTTTCGGAAACCCCTGACGTGGTCAAGGCCAGTGTTTTTCATGTCGTTAATTTTGGACAGAATAATTATTTAATTTCTTTATGAAGTCTTAATTTATGAATTATTTTGTACAGATTATTAAACGTGTCAATTTGTTTATTTATATTTTCAGCTTGGGTTTTTATGTTACTGAATTTTTGTTGCTGCTGTTTATTACCTAATTGCTTTTACTATATTTAAATGACCACTAAATTAATATAACATTATTTATTTTTACTTAAGCTTAGTAATCTTCCCTTCATCACATATTTGCATATGTGGGAAAGCGTGGTTTTCTTAAGCTAAGTTTTATTTTTATTCGTCACTCTATTTACTACATATTTACAATATTCTAACGTCTTTGTTCTAGTTTTCCTATTAGTCAGCAGCCTGGAGATGTTATTTTGTGTAACTTTTTGCCCTTGCAGCAGTTGTTCGGTCTCAAACCTCTCTTTTGCATACATCGGACAGTGGAACACAACATGGGGGACAGTCTCGTCCTCAGTGGGGTCGCATGGACACGACGGATTTCCCTTAATTTTGAAACGGTACAAGTATTCGGAGAATCCGCCGTGCCCGGTAAACAACTGGG